AAATAAATACATTTTAAAAAGGCTAATTGCCCACATCCTATTAATAGTTGCTTCTTTAAAATGATCCATACAAGTAAATATTCTTTAGAGGGAAACAGACCTGTGATACACTATAGAATAATAATTTTCTGTGTGAATGGTTGCGTGTGTGAGTTGTAAGCCAATCGGAGGGAGGACATTTTGGGAAGGTGAGGCTTTCCATTCTGTCCCGCTGGTGAGTGACTCTGAGGCTGGAAAGACACAGCGAAGAAAACTTTCAGCTTCTTGTCACTTTCTGTAGTTAATGTGAGAAACGTTGCTGGTGGTACATCGTATCTGCGGTCTCACTAATTAATGTTAATTCAGTCAGTAACTTGATGTCAGACCTAAATTAACCTTGGCTTTTGTCGGCTTGTGTCCTCTCTGTTAACGCCTGTCAACACTTGTCAAAGATAGATTGTAAGGGAAGAAGCTCCACTCTGTAACACCACTGTGAGTGTTTCTGTGGTTCACACAAACAGAGTGAGACTTCCTGTTTCTAGTGGATCAGGTCATGTCACTATTTAAGTATTTGTTCAGGATCAACATCATGATGACCAACATAATTACATAACTATTAAATAAAATAAAAAAAAGACAGCAGAAATTTTAACGTAAAGCACCTATATTCAGTATTTTTATATTTGCCATGAATCAAGAGATAAACAAGCTCAGAGAGGATCAACTCTTCCCCTCAGTTCTACTGAACTTATAGCATCTTTTAGCTAACAGGCTAACAGCTGCGGTTTACATTCACTACATCAACTTAACTGATGATGCCACTGTATGTTAATGTTAATGAATAAATTACAGCAAGTGTAAAGAGCTTCGTAACTCATAGGATGTGATGTGAAAGCTCCTGGTCAGTTACTAAATGGTCTTTTCCAACTGCTGTTTTTAAGGAACTCTGATGATCAGTGAGAAGCTGTTAATACAAAGCTACCTTGGTCAGCAAACACATGGCTAACATGATGAACAATAAAGTGCAGAAGAAGAAAAAGCTAATTTGCATGACGTGAATGATTTATTTAAAAGTAAATTTAGAGTTCATCAGTGTGCAGGGTAAAGCTGCGTCGTCCCCAAACTGAGTCCTTTTCTTTTTGTCGTGTGAGGAGGAGGCTACCAACAGATTCATCAACATAAATGCTTGGGTGGTGCACGGACCATATGTCACCTGACGCTGTTAGGAAATCTTTAACGTATCACACTGAGTTATCTTTGTTTGTGTTAGAGGAGACAGGAGAGGATTTAGAGCGTAGAGAGGTAAAGAACCTGAAAGTGGCAAAAAACACCAGATGTGATAAGAATAAGTATAAACATGTATACATATAGTATATATATATATATATATATATGCATGAAAATGAACAGAGGGAGTGCGGTCAATATTAAATTTCATTTGCTTTTTTTATTACGTGCACTGTCAATTCCAGTCAGGTGCAGTCGTGTTGAAGTGTAATCACTGCTGAGCTGAGCTGTCTGCAACTTGAGACCCAAAAACTCGAGTGGTAAGTCAGTGGGTGTGATCAGTGGGCGTGGCCAGTGGGCGTGGTCGGTGGGCGTGGCTTTCACTGACATTTTGGAAGTAACAAAAACAGCTGTAACCGATAAACGTCAACACTATTTCATCACCTCTTTTTTTTTTTTTTAAATATATTGTTTTGTTACTTCCACCTTTGAGGCGTCTTTCCTGAAATGACAAATGGCGAATGTTGTGTTGTGAAAGATGAATAATGAATATAAGTCGGGGAACATTATGAAGCATGGCTGTGATTTCATCCAATCACGACTGTTTTAATTAAATCGATGTTAAATTAATCAAATTACTTGATAATTTATCATATTTTTCATTTCACATCCGTTTCATTGCTTCATTTTTCAGTTCAAATGCATTTTCATCTCCTCCAATTTGATCAATTAATTTCTGTTACTTCCACCCCTCATAAAGTTGCACTGTATTAACTTAAAGTTTAAATCATAAAATCCTGAGTTAACAGAGTTACTTAGCCAGATGCCAGCGGCTCTGCCGCTTCATCAGTAGCAGACGTTGCAGGATTGCTAATGTACCACAGACATGATGATCGTGACAACAGCTGTCAAACACACAGAATCGTGGTCACGAGTTGAAGCTGAGGGAACGATCGTGTCCAAGGCGCTGCAGACTGTAAAACACGACAGCTTCTTCCAGTGACCTGCTGATATCTGCGCCGCTGTACTTCACTCACTCAGGTGGAGGAACAACCTGAACTGCAGCTCCACTCTGAGCTGTGGTCAGTGTGGTCTGTTCCCAGCAGCTTGATGGTCAGAAAATAACACAAAACCTGGTGCTTTCTATAAAAGCTAGAAGCTGCATTTATCCCGCAAGAAACAAAGTCCTGGAAATACTGCATATAAACACCCACTCCCAGTCCCATTATATCTCATATACCGTATACCAGGATATGAATGTAGACGTCAGACGCCACTTTCGCAAACCCTCGGCGAAGCACAACAGACTCGAAGAGCAGAATCAGGAGCAGAGATGTGTGAGAGGAGCTGAGTGGAAACACTGGCTCATCAGACCCAACTAACAGCACACGGTCGGATCATCTCACGTATGAAAATACAAACAGGAGCCGTTGCTTTATATTACAGAACTCCTCACATCCCTCTCCTCCACTCAGGGTTTCAATCTCGAAATGTAATTTATATTCATGGGGATATGCTGATGAGTTATGTACATCCTGACTTTTGTTACTGTAGGTCGACGGGTAAGCGACAAAACATCTGAGGAACGGAGTCGTTTTCTCTTTTGCTTGAGGCTGGAAACCAAAGACAGAAGATTACAGTAATTCACAGCCTCAGAGAAATGTGAGTGTAAGTGAGTCAGGATTGACCTTGGCTCTTCATTTTCCTCACAAATCTTGTTTTTGATACAGAATCTCCTCTTTTGATTAATTTCTATTCTTTTCTTTATTGTTACTTCATTAACTCATTAGATATTTCTGTCAGATCTACATTACATCTACTGTGGACCACAACTTAAAGGAGCTAAATGTAAGTTTTCTTCTGCCGCCGAACGAGGTTTCTTGCCGGGAGCAGGTGATGGTGATCGTCGCTTGACAAGAGCAACTCTGACCAACGCTGCGTCTTCAGGGCAGATTGGAGGCAACAGTGACAGCGAGCCGCTACTGGAAAGTGATGAGCAGGGCCGCGGCTAGCTGGTTAGCATGCTAACTTCAGCAGAAGAAAAGACGTGATAGAGACAAGTCCTTAACTTCGGGGTGTTGGTGAGTAAAGGAATGAAGTTTGATGTTGAACTTGTTTCTTCCAGACTGGTGAGTAAACAGCTGTTAATGCTAATGTTAGCTATGTAGCGATAGCAAAACTTATAAATAGCTCCTTTTGACTGTCAGTTGCTTTAACACTTGTTATTTTACACAGCAGGTTTTACAGCTGATACATGAGAGAGTGAAAAATGAATTTCACTAAACTGATAGTTGATCTACGTGACAGAGGATCTGCAGTTATAATTAAATGAATCTTCTTCATAGCTAGCTAACATTACTGTAGTTGTTACCTCCACCATGGCGCTTTTGTTTTCACCTGTGTCACCTGGTTTATTTGTTTGTTTTATTGTCAGCAGTTTTACATGAAAAGTACTGAACCAATTTGCACCAAACTTGGCGAAGGTGTGGGACATGGAGCCGGAAAGAACCCGTTACATTTTGGCGCAGATCCAGTTAAATTGGGCTTTTTTTTTTTTTTGTAATCACTTTCTCAGGAAATAATGTAAAGATCATGATATAAAAACTATTTATGGTGTTGAGGTCGATGAATTTTGCACAATTTGGTGCAGATCCACATGTACATATACTGTGTCTGTTGAGCAGATCTAAGTAGTTAACAGGAAAATATATGTTGTCTTGCCTTCCATGTCCCTATTTATATCTTATTATGTTTTATGACAAATAAATCACTTCAGACTTCTTCCTTTTCCTTTTGTTTTCTATGGTAATAGCTGCATGTGTGGGACTGTTTGGCCTTGCTGGAGGTATGTGACAGACTGAGTGACATTATAGTTCTTCTAAGTATTACCATGTTTTAGAAAGAGAGTCTCTCACTATAATATTAGCCAGTGTTTGATTTAAACTGATAGGTGTACCTTTAATAAACCTATCCTTTGGTTAGTTGAAGTTGGGTTTACGTGTCTGTATTTCTGCATATTGATCGAGTGATGTGCTGCATGGGTCAGACGAACACAGTATTTCTTCCCCAGCTTACTAAGGAGCACGTCAGATCCCACGAGGAGCTGACCAGAGCGTCAGATTTATCACACACCATAATGTAATTGTAAAAAATGCAATATAGCAGAGCAGTGGAACCAGCCAGGAGCCCGTCTTCTTCTGTTTTTTTTAAAAAATATGTTAGAAATGATCAAATAAACATCAGGAATCTAAAACAAGTTCAGTATGGAATCCAAAAGATGCAAAATTATGGAGATGGGATAAATTTACTGTGAACAAAAACTACTGATATGGACCAATGATGCTGCTTCCAGTGACATGAAGTCCAAGGGTTAACCTTGTTACACGCTGTCACCACCAACATTACAAAAAGCACAGTGATGTCACCTCTGTAGTATTATATCCAAACTTATAGTGATAAATGACTGTTGTTCTCAGATTTCATGAAGACTTCCTGCAACTCATTAATTACATCACTGCACCACTTAAATCTTATTATTAAAGCATCTCTGCAGTGTTACCACAGTTAATGATATTAGTACTAGTTTAATTACAGGTGAGTGAGGACTGACAGACACCAGTGCATCTGCAGCTTTTTACACAGGTCGTCTCAAGCCATATGACTGACTGAGCTCAATATAATCAGCGAGTTATCAATGCAAATTCAATATTTGACCAATATCTCTCTAAATGTTATGGATTTACAGTCTGCAACTGGTTTTGGCGGATCAACAGTCACACAAAGGGGACGATTACCTCCGATATCCGGCCGCAGTTTCTTGTCATATTCTTTCAGTAAATTGTTGAGTATTTCCGTGGCGTCGGTTTCGTGGGATTTAGGAGCCAGCATCTGGTTCACAGTGACATCCTCATAGTCCCCCTCGTACTCCAGTGTTAGAGAGCTGTGGAGGGGGAAAACAGCAGAGTCACTGGATTCTGCAGACTGGTGCATGTGCATGTGAACACATTGATGTGACACTGCGAGGTAAACTTAGAAGAGCCAAACATAAAGTTTCCTTGTGCTTACCAGCTGACACACATGACTGCACTGTGCTGAAGTTACAACATCCCACAAACACAGCAGAGGTTGTTTTTTTGTTGTTGCCCCCCCCACCACCACCACCACCACTGTGCACAGATGTGTGGAACAGAAGTGCGCCACTTACCAGGTATGGATGACTGACAGCAGAAAGACACAGGACAGTAATTTGGGCGACATGTTTTCTCGCAGGGTGACAACAAGTGGAGCTGTGTGAGAGGACGGCGCGTGTCGGTGTCTGGACGCGATGGTCACAGCTGCTCAGAGGAGAGCGCGAGGGGAGAGGAGGAGAGGCGCCTCATAGTTTGTAATCCAGAACAAATTTCACTCATTGTTAAAAAAAAAAAAAAAAAAAAAAAAAAAGAAAGGAAAAAAAAAAAGAAATCAGGCGTTTCCAAAAAAAAAACTGTCCCTCCTCGATGTGGTTTTCCAGGCGAAGGAGCAGCGTCTCACTTGGAGGGGGTTGCAGTTGTATCCTGGGTTGCGGACACTGCTGGTGGTACGCAGGTGCGCACTCTCTGAACGCATCCACTGAAAGCCTGTAATTCATCAAAAACTCCTCTATTGGTAAGTGTGCGTCACTCCACTTTCTTACGGACTACTTTGCAGCTCTCATACGAGCAGCAGAGAAACCTTTCTCTCCCCCTGATGTGCGCGGGATTATCTGCCAAATGTGTGCAGAAATGAAGATAAAACATGCGTCTGTAACTGGGTTTGAAAGAAAGAAAGAAAGAAAGAAAGAAAGAAAGAAAGAAAGAAAGAAAGAAAGAAAGAAAGATTGGAATACTTTGGAACAATATTTCAATATAAAGCTTTATAATGCGAATATGAATTACATTCCAGTTACTAACTTTTGCAAATCTTTCATAGTTTAAAAAGAAGTAAATAAGCTTCCATTTCTTCTACTTTTTTTAAAATGTTATTATTCATATTTTCACGGATGTTAGTTTTGCACCTGCAGTTTGAGGACAGGTGATGCGGCTGCTTCATTATATTTATTTGAAAGCTTGAATATGAATGTGCTGCAAGAGCCTCCTTTACAGCTGCCAAATGCTACTAATTGGCATGCAGCCTAATACATTATAAAGCCATCTTTGTAGCAGCCTTTGTAGTTGTAATTGAGGGGCCCTCGCTTTGTGTATAATCAATGACAGAGATTTAACACTTAAAGGCGCACTGCAGTGATTTAGTGTTACACTTTCATAAAGTTTGGCGGACTCACAAGAGACAGATATTAAAAAAAACAAGTCAAAATCAAAGCAGTAGAAGCCGAGATACGCTGCCTTTTTGTCATTAAAATGGAAACAAACTGGGGCCTACATTTCCCATAATGCAACCGGACAGCATCTGTCTTTAGACCTTCCCTACCTTCTTCCAAACCCTCATGTAAACCGTGTCTGAAATCACTCACTATACTCCCTTTATAGTCCAATATATAGTGAGTTCTCCATCTTGCAGTGCTGCCCGAAGGTATAGTGGGAATTATTATACCCTATATAGTGAACTCATAGTATCCCACAATGCATCATGAAAAGTAGTGCACAACCAATGGTCACTAACCAAGAAATGTCTCATGCTGAAAGACAGAAAAACGGTGCGGAGAAAACGACCTGAGTAGTTTCCAAAAGCCCCCGGTGAGATAGGGGTCAGATGACATCATCAGGGTCATCTGACAGATGTGTCCCGTTAAATAAAACTTGTCTCATCCTCAGCGACAAACAGACGCAACAAGTCCAGCGCAAATGACAAGAAACCGCACAGCTGACCACATGCTGCTGATGAGGGAACCTCCCGTCAGTGATACGGAGTGATCCCTCTCAGCAGCTGCTGTTCAGGAACAATCAGAGGTTGCCCCCCCCACCCCCACCCCCGATGGCTCTTGGCTATCATTTGAAATGAATGGACAACTGTGAGTGGAGCATTTGTGCACCAAGAATGAAAACAGCAATTTCTCCCTCTGTCGACCCCTTGTGTTCACTCACTGTCACATGCAGGAGATTGTTGAAGGGTGGAAATTAACTGCTGAGATAAATAATCCTCTGAAGACTTAGATAACACCACATATAGTTTCATCTTGTTCTGATGGCACCAGACACTGTGTCTTTACAGCATCAGAGTGAGACTAATAGCAGTTTCTCCCGACAGAAGCACCGACCTGGAGAGTGAGCACCGGCAGCACCCTTTAAGTCTGTGCACAGCTCCAGGCAACGGCTCCAGTGTGGTGTTTAACAGACACTGTGGTGTAACGGACATCGATCCTGTCTGCAGCTCCGCCGCCGCTGTAGCTGACTGCTATCATTCTCTGCTGGTTAGAAAGAGAAATGCAGCCACTAGGAAGCGAAGGCTGGTGGGACGACAGTGTAATCATGAGCTGAACCACAGAGGGAGGGAACCAGAGGAGGGGCTCATACAAACATGGCTGTATCATGCGTCAGATACATGAACTAAACGGGTCCATGCTGTGATAATGTACTGGCCATTGTAAAAAAAATAAAACATCAGAGGACTAAAATAAGCTGATTAACATTTTTAAATGGACTGAAATCATTATGATGCATTCATTTAGTTTTATATCTAAATATATAATTTCCTTCCTTCATCTGTTCCATTACTTTAACTGGTAGTAATTACAGTCTCATATACAGTGTTTAGTTTTACTGGTGACAGTTGCAGTGAGCACAAGAAGCCAGATTTAACCTGTAAAAATCACTGATTTTGCTGTTAATTTTAATTCACAGTAAGTGGGATTTCATATTTGATAATTGCCACTTTATTTTAAAATTCAACAATGAGTAAAATTGACAAACATATACAGTACAGTGTTGTGATGCTCCAATAAATGATGTTTTATCTGTGTGCTATGTGAGATTTTAAGGCTAAGATATACATTTAAAAAATACCGTATACAAGAATGACGGCGCCGTCTTTACAAGCTGTAGAACACTTGCCTTCATGCACCATTTAAAATTCATGGACTATAACAACAAATACTTTTAACTTCTACATATTTTCTTTTGACCTTTCAGTTCTTCTTCATGAGCTATGCATCAGTGCGCTGAGATTACAGCCCGGCACTCTGCAAGTGTCATTAATGATTTAACATTACGCTTTTTAAAGTTATAGCCTATGAGCGCATGCGACAACACTGTGCTCGTAATCGTCCAACCACCAAATTAAAATGCACATTTCTGCAGCAATCCCACACAGTGTATTTTATCAGTCCAGCATCCAACAAATCTGTGTTGCTTCACATGAGATATAAACAGGAAGTGAAGATGACTGCGCTCGGCTTTTGCTGAAGAAGATGAGGCCGAATGATTTGCTTTAACTTTCTTTTTCATCGTCTTGTTTTTGTGTTATGTCTCTATTTGTTCTTGACCCCCTCCTCCCCCTTTTATGATGTTTGCCTTCATTTAGTATTTTTATATTTCTTTCCTGTTTCATTACATTGCTGTCAAGTTTTTTGTTTTGATCCTCTGTCTGGCACTTTGCATCTGTGGTTTAAAAAGATGCCGATATTACGTTTGAAAGGCTTTTATTAGCGGCAACCGCAGCCTGGGAATCAAGGTCACCTAACGTTTTCTTTTTCAAATTGAAATTCTCTTCAATATGTTGCAGACTTTCTGAGCAAATGACACGAGGAGGGATACGTGATTTGATGCTCAATGAAAATAAGACGCTGTCTTCCTAAAATCAATACAACGATATCATCAACAAAAGATTTGGATCCTTGTATTTTGGAGCAGTGCAGTGACCGAGACGGTATTTTGTATGAGGAGAAAGGTTCAATAGAAAAACATGATACAACTTTACAGTGGTACAGTCCCTTGTGCCACTGCGGAGGAGAGGCAGGCTCGCACTCGAATCTGTCACTGAAAGTGCTTGTTCAGCAATCCAGAAATCAAATTACATCAGTGAGCTACATGCATGGGCTATAGACACTCTGTCCGCTGATAAAGCAGCTGCAGTGTATGTGTGAACATAAGGTACAGTGAGTGTCCTCACATCCCCTCTGACTAAGCAGTTTTGAATACATTTCATAGATAGTACCCGTAATGAATAGAGCCTTATATTAGACTTTCATATCCCACAAGTTTTCTTTTTTTACTCTCAAAACTTTCCCCGTTCATTGTGCTCACCCTGAGCCACAGACTTCACACACCTTTCTGCTACCTGCTGCATCCGCTTCCACAGCCGTCTGTCTTCTCTGCAAACATGAAAACCCCTAACTGGAGGAACTACTCGCTCTTTTGCTGAAGGTTACGTAAGAGGTTTGATACTATTCTCATGTCTGTTCAGTAACTCAGCTATAGGTGCATGCAGGACCTGAAAATGTTAGCTGCAAGCTAGCTAGCACAGATACACACCACGTTTATGGGAGTGTGCTCGTCTTCACATCACTTCATGCCTCCCTAGATGAATTTGAATCAAATTACAATTGCGACTTTTGCATCTTTGCCCCAAAAAATAGTCGTCATAATATCATTTATTAATCTGTGAGTTTTACAGCTGCTGCTCGTTGGAGTTTGTTACGTGTGGACAGAGCCAGGCTAGCGGTTTCTAGTCTTTGTGTTAAGCTAAGCTAACTCGTAGTAGCTTCATATACGAGAGTGGCATCAATCATCTTTTTATCTAACCACCGGTAAGAAAGCTTATGAGCATATTTTCCTTCCTTCAGATCCATCCAGGGCATGACACTGAAAACATGTTGATGTTTTTTCATCATTCAAATTCCTTACAACATGAAACAGTCGTCTCATGTCCAGGCCTAATCCTCCCAGCTGTAAAAAACTGATGATGAATTTGAGTTAAGTTAAGCTTCCACTGTTAGCTGTTAAAAAAAACACCACATCACTGTAAAATAATAATAATAATAATATAATGTTGTGTCTTCTGCAGGTGAAAAGACTACTTGAAAACTACTTTTTAAATTTCTGATCGTGGTGACCACCGAGTGTAAAAAACAAAACAAAACAAAAATAAACAAAGACCGGACACATTTCCAAGAACTTAATCAGAGCTTCATTAATCAGAATTATTTGAGTGTTGTTGTAATCATGCAAAAGTTATACACATGGCTCTCAAAACAGCTCTCTATATAAACTGTATAAAACATGGTATATGCCTCTAGTTGTCTGTTTAACCCTTTACAGCATCCGGCTGTCTCAAAAAATAACTGAAATTTGACATTTCTTTGTTGGCTGGATCAGTGCGTCGTGTAAAATGTGTGTATAAAGGTCAACAAGCAGCAGGAGGACAGTCCTCCATGTTCTGACTGAGGCGTGGTGCAGGACCAGAGAGGACGCTGCTCTCCACCAGCATATACTGTAGCCCATCTTTGCTTCTCAACCTATATACTATGATTGATGTCATTCAGTGCCATCAGTGACAGCTTAATTTGGTGTAGAGTATAGGCATGCTGAATGGAAAAAGCAACTTAAATGGAGCTAAATCCTTGACAAACAGATGTGAGCCAGATGTTACCGCCACAGAGGCTCCCAAGATGGATTTAACAGTGCACCAACTGTACGTGCTGCATGAGCTGGATGTGCATGTGTATAATCAAAGGAGAAACAGCACGTGGAGAGCGTTGTTCCATCAAGCAAGATTAAGCCAGTGTTTTATCACATTGGCTGCATAAATGTATCTAAATATGAATTAATGCACTATACATCTGATCTGCATTCTGGCTCTGTGTGTGTATTTATCTGGTGTGATGAAACATGATAATCCCCGATCGGTGTCAAATGTGACCTGCTGTTTATAACCTGACACTCCATGTCATGAAGCTCCTGAACCGACATGATGAAGGCTTTTCATGTTTCAGCATCACTCTCTGTTTGATCATCAACAGCTGACAGATGGAGTCACTGAGGCTTTATTTGGAATCAGGTATGCATAACAATTATGAGAGAAAAAAAAAAAGAAAAAAGTAGGTTTCAATAGAGACCCAGAGCCTTATATTGGTCAGTGGCACAGGCCTATTACATAAAAAGACAACATTTAAATTAGATAGAATACATACATTAATAAAAATAAATGCAGTCAGAAATCACTGTGTTTCCAAAGAGAGAAGGACGGAGCTAAAATGAATCAGAGCATAGGTGGAGCAAGGGGGGGGCAGCGTGGGGCTGCAGCCCCGGATGTTTTCCCAAAAGCCCTGAATCTTAGAAGTTTATAATAATTTTATATAATTTTATTTTATAATATAACTTGTGGTGTCATTTCCTCTCAGTCTCTCTGGCTGGACCGGCAAATCAGTGGAGCTCTATTAGTACTGTTCTGGGGAAATAGCCATTTATAGGTCGCCCGTCAATTTGCGGAGCATTCGGGCTTGACGTGGTTTCATATTTGGTGCGCAGGGCGAGCCATGAGGGAAAATTAAGAGCAGAGAGGAGGAAAATATGTGATGGAAGAACCAGGAGGAGAGGAGTGGAGGAGGAGTGGAAGAGAAAAGGAGGAAAAGAATGAAGGAGAGAAAAGGAAAAGAGACGTGAAAACTTTCACAAATACAAAAAAATACGTTTGTAAACTCACAAAAATGATCTTTCAAATATAAATTGGATCCGCAATAAAATTATTATTTTATCATTTACTCCGCACGTGACCCCAAAACAGTTTCCAACAACATCCAACACTTTACGGCAGCCCTGCTGTAATTCCCTGGGGACACGCTTCAAAAAGCAAAACACAGAGCAAACAGAGGAGAGTCTTTTGTGTCACAACAAAAATTAAGTTTAATTTATTCGGCGTCTCAAATTTGTGCTGAGCAACGCTCTTCCCAAACAATCAATGTTTCAGTTCCATTCAAGTCATTGTTTTAACCTATGGTTTTACCACACTAGTGAGACATCTTCCCAATCAAACAGGATCTCCGATAAACTCTAAAAGTCGACGCTGTGGGACTGACCTCCGGTACCGGGTAGTTGATTTCCTCTGCAAACACGCTGTAAGAAGACGAGGGTTCCGACGTGATGAAGAGGTGGAGATCCGAGTATTTTTACTTACTGGCCGCGGACTGTACACTGAGTCAGGGGTGGTTCACTGACGCCATCTTTTTTTTTTTTTGTCGTCCATATTTAAAAAATCCGAAATGGCGCCAACTCCTGTGTAACAGCGTAACTCGTCCTCCGCTCGGTTTCTTCCGCTCCCCTTCCGGTTCAACCGTCAGTTGCAGGTGTTTGTTTGTTCCTCACCGTGGTTGTATTATTTCAATCTAATATGTCTTATAGTAGACCTACATCCATGTTCCCCATAGTTTACTTTTCTAATGCTGTTATTCATATGACTGGGCCGAGAAATCCGGTGTTGTGAGTAGTTTTGCCGCGTTTTTTAATGGACACACAGGAAAGGAAAGAGTGAAGCAGCAAACATGGAGTCCTGCTGCGAGTGACACAAAATCCACAAAGGAAGGTTCAAAATTCATAAGCTGCAGCTAAAAGCCACGAACAGCAGCGGGAAGTGAAGGTCAAAGTCCAACAGCAGCTGTGCACGAAGTTCAGGATATTAATAAATAATAATCACAACATTCATTAACATACAGTCCATTCATTTGAAAGGACTTTTAACTAAATAAAAGGCTTAAATGTCACATATGTTATTTCCAAAGACAGTTAAGTCTGTATTATGTCTTAAAGCTAGAAATCACAGAATCCTTAAATCCTCCACGGACAACACAAGGGCACTGACCTTGTTCTGTCAGCAGTTGTGTCCTTCATTAAAATATCGATTCAATTTCATAAGTGACGAATGAAAATGTTGAATGCACTTTTTAATTGAACCCCCCACATTAAGAGCTAATGAGTGCAAATGATGAACTAATAGACTGGACATATAGACTTGCCATATTCTAAAAAAGCCAAAGTCTTGTTGTCATCAGTCAGGCTACTGAAGTTATATAGATGAAATTACAATTAAAAATGCATTACTTCTCTAACCCCATAAATCTACAGTAGCTGTGTGGTGCACAGGTCTCATCCAGATTTTAAAATGGACATAAGGTTTAAGATATAAAACATTCATTTTAGTGTAAGAAATAAGACAGATTTTAAAGCCTCACAGCATCAGAGCCCCATTCATTGTTATAGAGCAAACTGGGATGACATTGAACATTTTAAGGTTCTCCCTTTGGTTTCTAACTTTAGAGGAGAGTGCAGCACATTCACAAATATTCACCAGTTTGTTCTGGGGCACAGGAATAAGAAATGTCAATTCTTGAAAAAAGGGATTCTCCTTTAAATGCACAATCCATGATTATGATACAGTGCTCCATCCTCAGAGCATCTGGTGCAGTAAAATAACAGGCAACATTAACATAACATTATAAATATTAAAGTCATTAGAAGCCTATTGGGGATCTTACTCAAATGATCATGTAAATTTGAAAATGAAAATGTAATTTTTAACTTTTACTTTATGAATATGAGCAAAGCAGGAGAAACAGTCAACAGGTTCCATTTCAAAGTATTTAATCTTTTGCTTGCAGTCAGTCAGGTGTGAGTGGTTATATTTCTACAAATAAAAGAAAGTGCAGATACAGGTCAAATTCTATCATATTATCTTGAATGAACAACAACAATGAGCAATTCTAAATCAAAAATTAGTAAATCAATACATTCTCACTTTAAATATATAATCATGTGAGAACAAACCGAGGAGATTAGATGTACTACTTAACAACAAAATAAACATGACTTGAGGAATAATGAAATGAACTCACTCAACGCACTGAGGAACAAAGGTGAAATGACAGAGGGAAGCAGCTCAGCTGAAGGGTAAACAGAGAATAAGCTCAGGACACAGAACAAAGAACACTCAAGGCACCTGTGTGAGCTGCCCAGTTAGCACACCTGTTCTCCTGCTGCTCTTCGGTCCAGCAAAGTAAAGACAATTAAAAAAGAAAATGAAATAATCCAATTTGCTCTTTTGGGGTCAAAATGAAAATGAAAATGAAAATGTAATCTTTCATCCTCTCATCAAGGCAGGTCATCTGTTAGGATGTCACTTCCTTGTCAGGTGTTTTATATTTACAGATTACACATTTACTCACTGATTTCACACAAATATCACTGAGACAAATCTACCTCCGTGGACAGGAGATGAAAATGTGTTGACAGGGATTGAAGAAAAGAGGAAAGGAGAGCGGAGGTGGAGCTGATCTAAGAGAATAAGATACGCATTTAATATTTTCACATCTTCAGTTTATGGTCAGAAATATTAAAACTTTTTGTTTTATATTTTCTTTGAGTGGAGGACATTTCCAGGGACAAATGAGAGGAGCTGAGAGAGTGAAAGAAGAAGAAAAGAGGAGGGAATGTGAACAGTGATCGAGAGTAGATCAAATAAAATACAGTCTGATAATATTACAGTACATGTCCATGATGTTTATCCTATGATGCTATTCCTTAAATAAATGTCATTCAAATCATTAGAGTAAATGTTCTTCTGTAATATTCAGTTCAGAGTCATGAAGACATTTACTTGGCCTTGTTGTGGATCCATGTCTGCTCAGTTAGAGCAGCACGTATTATTATGGTCTGGATTTAAATGTAGATTTGTCGTCTAAACATTAAATCTGTGAGTGTAATGAAAATAGGTGTCAAGGTTAGTGATGCTGTTTGTGCCGAATTCATTCCCCACCTGTGTCATGTAAATTCAAAATAGTCACATCAGTCAATTTTTGCCTCTTTTTGTGACAGTAGTGAAAATTAGTCACTGACAAAATCTGTTGTGTTGTGGTTTCAGAATGATGGAGACAGAGAACAATTAGATTCAAAATATGGCTCCGCCCCTGAATCAGAGTATATGAAATATTTAAAAAAAAAGAAAAAAAAAAAGGGATAACATCTGGATAAAGACATCAACAAAATGAAGGCCAAATGATTCAAACATATTACCATAACCATTATTCATATGAGCATTATTTATTGCTTCAGATATTTGCATTTAAAGAACAGGCTGGACCTAAAATTCACTTAAATGTAATAATAATGCAATACAACTGGTGTGCTCCATAAACATATTAAATAGTGGCAGGCCACACAGAAGGCATAAAGTCACATGAGTAGATCACGCTCATATTTAAACTGTTCATAGAGACAAGAGGCTTAAAGTGTAATTCTGGGAGAACGATGAAGACTGCAGAACCGACTCTGCTGACCTGTTGTACATGCAGCCTTTTGCAGTGAGAATCATGCAAAAAGCTTGACTTTTTATGGTCTTATGGTGACCATAAAAGTGTTTTACATTGGGCTCCATTAAAGGAATACCTACCAGTCTCATGTCTGTAGATGTATGAAGCTACGGTCCAACAACAGTTAGCTTATCTTAGCATCTCAGCAGGAGGAAACGGCTAACCCGGCTCTGTAAACACACCTAACAACACAACTAAAAGTCAATAATTAACAGCCCATCCTAACCTAAATTTATACAAAAACTGTTGTTGTGATTATAAGATGCAGCTTTTTCTTTGTTTAATTCAAGTTCAAATTAATGCGTAACTCCTTTACAACTTTCAAACTAATGCAACAGCCTGTTGGAGTCATCAGAAGCCACTGTACAGTGCATACAGTATAATACAAATGAGATACAAGATGTTAAATTAGCGAGCTGGTAGGCGGATTTCCCCTAAGCAAGGCTAGCTGTTCCCTCTTTTCTTTATGCTAAGCTAAGCTAACTGTTGTCTTGCAACAGCTTCAAATTTTATCGTACCGACATAAATCATAGAAGCTAATTTCCGTAAAAGTTGCAGTATAATTGATTACTTCTCGTCTTTATGCTAAGCTAAGCTAACCAGTAGCTTCATATGTACTAAACGGACATGTGAGTGGTATCAATCTTCTCCTCTAACTACTGGCATAATAAGCATATTTCTCAAAATGTCGAACTTATTCTTTTAAGGTAGCACTTCACTATTTAACAACAAATTCATATTAATACCTGATCTGACACTTTTGCCTGAAAACCCTAAAAATAGCAACGGTAACATGATTTAAAATGACGATGCTGAAAATGCTCAACAACCTTGTCATTGTGACTTTCTGTCTCTGTTAAGCTTGATAACCTGATGAGCTCAAGTCAGTCTCTTAACGACAGAAGTTAATTATGACAAAAATAGTGATCCTGCTCATAGCATCCAAATATTTATCAAGTTATCATCAAAGCTTATGGAAACACCGAACTTATCTGAAAAAAGAAAATGTTTAAAAAAGCTTTATATATTCAAAAATGCTAAAGCTCAAGCTTTTCTGCTCTTTTTTCAATATCCAGTCAATGAAGCACTAGACTAGAGTAACACTGTGTTGCTGTATATGCATAACATAGAAGCTAACCTTACTGGCTTAGTGATGCTTTTCTAAAAGCAGGGCATATATACATGTTTATTCAACTATGGTCATACATACAGACAAACAGACATACATACAGGATTCCTTAACACGGTGACCTGGGAACAGAAGCTGCCACTGTCACTTTAGCTGGAGATCTGTCCCTGTTTAATCTCAACACAAACAGAAAAAACAGTATTAATGGGGAACTGGCCATTCTGAATCCAGAAAAATAACAAAACAGAGATCAACAAGAGTCGTCATTTGAATGAACGTTTTCACACTGGCTTCTGAAAAAGTAGTTGCATGAGATTTCAGTGCATTCATAATGAGTTATCACACTCTGAAGGCAACACATTTAGCATGGCTATTCATCTGCTTTTAACAAGGAAGCGAAGTTCCATGTGCCAGGGCCCAGCCTCGCATACCTGGACTTCCAGCCCATTTTGTACAAAGTAAGAGTTACAAAGATAAAAGCCGTTTTTTTTTTTTTGAGTATTAACACAGTAAAAATGTTGTTTTTTGCATAGCATTTGGCCTTGCTTTACCATCATCTACTGTAGACTCGAGGAGAAAATGTGAATGCCAAATGCTAACATTTCAAAAATCCAAAAGTTGGCAGAAATGAATCAGTGACTAAGTTCTGAAATGAGATAAACTAAACTAATTTCAAGGAGAAGTTGTTAATCCTACATGTACAAACTCAAGGCAAACATGGCAACATTTTCCTGAAGCGACAGACATGCAATGTAACCCAGTGACCTAAAAAAACACATCTATGATACAAGGACTAAGTGCTTGGCATTGTTTTTGATTGCGTTCCAGTTATCAAATCCTGAAGTGGTTGTCAGGAGGATGAACCCTCATCACAGAGCTCACACAGCTCCTTTGATCACGGGTTCCCTATTGAGATACGTGGCCCAGTACACCAGGTTGAAGGTCCCAAACAGAACTGGGAACACTATCCTGGACATCTTATCAATCTTGCTCACGCTGTTGTAAGTCTTTTTGGGGTCTGGGGCCTTGGTTTCAGACGGTTTGAGCTGAACAGCTGTGCTATTTGAAATGGTGGAGATAGACGTGTCCTTTGTAAGGTTGGTCGTGTAATTCACACCGGCTGAACAGGTGTTGTTTGGCTTTTTAGACAGAGCCAGAGGATCTTTTTTCTGCAGAGAAGAAGAAAAAAAAAAAACGCATTGATTTAGCGTGCGTACACACAACCCTAGCCAAAAAAAAAACGGCGCTGCACATTCATTGAACAGTTTGTTATTAACACACACACACATACACAAAAACACAAAGAGAACAGTAAGAGATGGCCAGTGAAGGTTGAAAACGGGGATCAATGACCTTGGGCGATAATGAACTGGCATTGTGCCTCAACGCTGGCAGCCTGAGCCGTGAATCTATTGATCCACTGTTTTTTAACTTCTACATCTCGGCTAATTTACCTCTTACTTTATTGTCATGTGTTAAGTGGACTTTTTTCACTCTACTACTACTTCCCTCACTTCCCACACCACCACTCTTCGACTAGAAGGAAGCAGCACAGAGGAGAGAGTGACAGAGTGGAGGAGGAAGGACGGGCAAGCGGCGTGGATTTGTTACCAGGCTGCTGCCGTGACGTTAACTGGTCCGTGTAACAACAACAACTGTGTAAAATAGAAATGTTAGTTTCTGTTTCACAGAGGTCAGTGGTGATTGTTGGAGCGTTATGATGTGTGTCATTATAAAAGCAAATGTGTCCGTCTGAGTGAGGATGTGATTCTGCAGCTCGGCAAATCAGATCTTGAAGAGATTGTGCCAAAGGTTTCTTCAGTTTTTTCCCCATTAAAGGTCCAATATTTTACGCTTTTCTGGTTGATCCATAAGAAGATTTATTTCCTCTCTCAGGCTTCTCTCTGGAGCTCTGAGCCTCTCCTCTGATTGGCTGACTGTTTTCTGAGTGATCCAATAAAGATGAAGAGATTTTCAGGTTAAAACACTCAGAGAAACCAAAATCCTGCAAGGTTGGATGGTGGGTGCGGGTGGGCGGGGCTTGGGCGCATAGCTGAGGGCAATAACTGTTGTGTTGTGACATCACAAAGTTCCAGAAGTCCTGACGGCTTTTTTTAAGGCCTCAGTTTTCTGAATACAGGCTGTGTGCATTTCTCTGTGGACTGAGGCTTTTGATACTTTCACAGTATTAATAAAGAAGCTAGACCTGATCTATAATCACACTACACATGGACACAGACCTTTACACTATATGGCACCTTTAAAGCTGCACTGATCAATCTTGTTAAATAAACAATGGCTCAAATGACTATAACTCTACAGCTCCTCTCTGTTGTAGTTTTACAGCCTGCAACTTTAACGTTTTGGATCTGTCTCTCCACTCTCATAAACCGGACTTCCAGCAGCAGCAGGCAGCTGTTTTCAATGTCAAACCTCTGATAAACACAATATGAGGAACTTGCTAAGCACCAAACAACAGAGGGACAATGTCTGCGACCAGCTAATGAACATAGTGAAGCATTTAGCAACTTTGCTGTTTTGTTTAACTCCGACGGTTCTCGTCAGCATTGTTCCAGCCACAGCCGGCAGCTCCGGTAAACCCACTGTACACAGCATCAAACGGTGCACAGACAGAGGCAGTGACCAGCTGGTTAACACAGCGGAGCATTCAGGAGTTGGTGAAGAGCAAAACAGAGCTAAACTGAGAGTGAGTGTTGCTCTTACATTCATCAGCCAGACACGTGAACTCAAATGCTGCCGGATGAGTAAATAACTTTGCCAACGTGTGACTCATATCAGCTTTGCAAGGTCATAATACAGTATGTTTTACTTCTGCTCTGTTTCAGACACAATATAAATAGTAGAGGACCCAAACTCTGTGTGACACTTTAATACCACAGTTTAGCCCTCATTACGACTACAGAGGACAGTGTGCCTGTAGGCATCTGTGACATCTGCACAGCCCTACTACCAACTTATAACTGACAGCATGAGCTACAGGCTAATGTGGAACGCCTCCTCCAAACTGTGAAAAAACAGCTACACAAACACAATCATTTGCCATCGTCGTAGGGACTCTCCACTGATTACATCCATTCTTTAGCCTCCAACCTGAAACCAAGTCTTTGTGTCACAATAAACTGTTGTGGAGACCAGCTTGTTGGGACCTGTTTCAGAGTTGGTTCCCCACAACGTGAGTCCTCACAATGTGATATACACAAGGAAAAAAACACACACACACACACACACACACACACCTACACTACATACCTTGGGCTGTTGGGCCTCCATCGCCTTTTTTCCATCCCAGGCCCAGCTCCTCTTTGTGAAATAATTGACCGTAGCAAATTCAATGAGGGCAGAGAAGACAAAGGCATAGCAGACGGCGATGAACCAGTCCATGGCCGTGGCATACGCCACTTTAGGCAGCGAGTTTCGAGCACTGATGCTGAGAGTGGTCATGGTGAGCACTGTGGTCACACCTGGGGGTGGAGAAAACTGGGTCAGTCAGTTTTACTAACCAGACGTTGCAACAGATTAAATCATAGTAAAAACAGGACACGTTTCAGAGCATTATAGACGGATCAGGTTGTGCATGTATTAGTGGCTTCTTTAGAAATACTCATGCACAAAATCAACTAATGTTTAAGGTATATATATATATATATATATATATATACATGGTGTAAAATCATGAGCCAATTCCAAAGTTATTTCACTGGTCAACGCGTCCGTGTGCGTCTTTCCAAACTCACCGAACACAGTCCGCGCTGGCACAGATTCCCGGTTGAGCCAAAAGGAAACCTGGGACAGAATCACGGTCATGAAGCAGGGCATGTAGGTCTGGATGACAAAGTAGCCGATCTTCCTCTTCAGGTAAAAGTGAGCCATCATCACGGTGTACTGACCTGTAGAACACAGCAGCACAGAGGAGGAGGAGGAGGAGGAGAACTGTCTCAGTGTGTAAGCTTTTTAGTTTTCTCAAATTGTAATTGTAAAAAAAAAAAAAAAAAAAGTATGTGTCTTATCAAAACACATTTTCATTTGGAAACAACATTGTCAGAACAAATACAACAAAATCACCATCTGATACGTTTGATTTTTCTCAAGTTTCATGAATCTTCCCGCAAAACAGCAACATGATCAGTGTGTTCCTGCTCTGTGACAGCGTTCCTCCCACACACGGGTCTTATGTGACCATTACCTCTTTAATCCCAACATCAGTTAACTTCTTCTATTAGTAACTGTAATGTAATGATGACACCTTTGCAGTTTTTATATGAACCTACACACCGTCACCGCTCCTGTTGACCCTGGACTAACTGTTGCTTGAACTACATGCTCTCACTTGCACAACCTGCACTAATTGAGTTTTTCGGCCACTTGGGGGCAGCGCAACACGCTGTGAACACAACACCATCATCACCTTTATAAGTTGTTCTGGATAATGTGTTAGCAAATTGCTGCTTATTTACACATCCAGCAGACACGGAGGAACATTAACCTTCATTTGGAGTCGTGTTTCTGTCCAAGTGATGAATCCAAACCTAATATTCAGTCTTGATTTAGCTCTGCATCAACTCCAGAGGGAAATACTCTGTAGCAGCTAAATGCTTCACCGTGTTCACCAGCCAGTTGCTAACTGAGCCTGAGTCCGTTGGTCGGTGCTGGACAGACAGTCAGTGTGTTTGTCAGAGCAGTTTAAGCTGAAATCATCGGCAGCTGGAAACAACGCTGAACGTGGAACCAGAAAAATCCCCCCAAAAAAAGCCTTGAAATGCTTCACAGAAAACAATAAAGTTCTTGTTCTGCTACACGAGTTTACCTGCTTCGACTTGACTTGAAGGTTACAGATATAATGATAAGTCACTGAACACTCCCTGAAAGACAAAGCCGCCTGATTCTATAAGAAAAACAACCCAAAGTTTTCAGTTTACAATGTGACTCACTCACACACACAGTTTTCTTCCTGATGCCTCTCTATTCTCTGCCAACAGGACAAATTATTTACCTCATAAGATCACTGTAAATTCACCTGTGCAGTATTCAGCCATTACTCATTTCACAACAGCAAGTAACGCCACATTTTAGCCTCCAACTTTATCGTTGTTTTGAGCTGCGCAGACCTGATCTATTTGAAACGTCTCCTGAGATTCCTTCTGTTGTGAACATAAATATATCAAAATAAAAATGTACTCGACTCGTTGTGTTCTTAGCATTTTAGCAGAGGGACTCTTCACAACCTTCCCTTTTTTAAATGAAGTGGCTCGTGCTTGTTGTCATTAAAAATCTCTTGTTTTGGGTTGTGTTCATCTCAGTCAGTCAGTCAGTCAGTCAGTCAGTCAGTCAGTCAGTCAGTCAGTCCTTTCAGACTGTGACTGTGATTAAAGGCTCTACAAATAAACTTTACCCGACAACCTCCGGGCCAGACTTCGGCTCCAAATGTGAAATCGTGAGCTGAATTATTGAAAAACAGGCTGGTGGGGAAATCATCATATCCTGCTAACCAACTGAAGATTGCATTTGAAGGATTTTTTTTTTTTTTTTTTCTGTCAAAAATCCTGTCGAGCCACGGAGTCTGATAAACTATAGAAAATCCACAGATGACTGCTGCTTTCTCCTGGCAAAATCGGATTTTTCTGTCTCGCTAATCCCTTGTCACAATCTGCATCCTGTATATCTCTCTCGCTCTCCCTCTGTCTCTGCCTCTCTCTCTTTCTATGTGTGTGAGAGTGTGTGTGTGTGTGTGTGTATGTGTGTGTGTGTGTGTGTGTGTGTGTGTGTGTGTGTGCAGCAGACAGTCCATCCCATTCTGTCAGGCCGGGCCACACTTGATTGGGGACATACATCCTTGCCTTGCCTGAGCTCGAGCACCAGCACAGACCTGGATCAGAGGTGATTACAGCAGGTGCACAGATGACTGAAGCGGAGGGGGGTTGAGAGGGACCGGAGGAAAAGTTTGGATGGTCTGTGCGATGCGGCGACAAGCACCATGTCCTTAAGGAAAAGGACACCTGTGTTGCCTTCGCTCCAAGGACTACTGGCCAGCAGCCCCGCTCTGTGGCGGCACGACCAGGCGAACCTCGCTCTGATCTGACCGCCTGCTGGACTTGGAAGTGGATGGAAATCTCCAAGGTGTGAGAAAATGCGGTTGTGGTGGATTTTAATGATTAGTTTTTGGAGTGCCTGTGGGGAACTGCCATTCATAGCGGAGAACAATGCAGCTATGTTGGTCAACTGGTAAGTACAGATTGAAACCATCTGTTGAGCTTTGCCGCTTTCTATTTTGATCTGAGAGCGCTGGTGTGTGTAATGTAATGAAATTACAAGGGTCGCCTCTCATCAATTCAATTCCCATGCCTATATTCTCATCCTCCTCGGCTTAACCTGTGAGGTCAAAGGTCACCTCTGACCAGTGTGAGCACTTTGCTGATCTATTCTTGGCTTGTTAAAGAGGGTTTGTACCTCAGATTAGCAATGCTAATTAAGGCCATGCCGGCTCTGTGTGTCGACCCTCTCTAACTGATCTGAGCGCTGTGGGGTGGGGAAGGAGTTACAGAAAATACAGCAACCTGTGTGTTAAGCGTTCGGAGTCGGGGGGGGGGGGGGGTCACGCCCCTACCAGTGTGAGCACGGCTGGATTTTCTCCCGCTGCATCAACTGAACAGTGAACGTTACATTATCCAGCTAAAGCCACGATCTACACAGCACAGCTATAGGAAATAACTTCCCAGTAATAAACTCACTCCCAACAAGCACCAGAAATGTATTATCATACTTCTTTACATAACAGAATTAAGCAGATGCCGCTTGCGCCCCCCAGTCACCCCCCCACCACGTGTCCCCGCCGCAGCAGCCAATCCGTGAGCCGTGACGTCACTCAGTAAAAGCACAACTGATGGGCCTGCGTACGGATTAACCCTACAGACCCAATGGCTCAGACCATGGATAAGTGATTTTTTTTTTTTGCCCCCCTCTCCCCCCCCACCCCCGGCTATCCTCTCTTGGCAGCCCCAGAGACAGCTGGCTATGTGTGGGAGGCATTCTCAAATCCTTGTGATTCATTCATTGTCTCTATCCAGCTTGATTTGAAAACATTTTCTTCTCACAACATCTTTTGATGGCGCACGCTGTAATAACACAGAGCTGAATAAACGGGGGCGGAGCCGGGGGTTTAACATAAACGTGCTGCCGCCTGAAGCTACCGTACTGTACGTGAGCGCCGTTGTGGGAGAGGAGAGAGGGATGTGAGGACGCGGCAACATGAACTCCGGCTGAGACGTAAATGTCCGTGCGTACGATACGGAGGGATCAGCCGTCTGTAGTCACAGGCCTGGTCGTCCGGAGGCACCTCACTCTCGCTCCACTTTACCTCGGCTGGTGTAGATGTCCTCCGTCCCCGCGGTCTGACCGATCAGGTGATACTGATTGAGCCGAGAGCCTTCCTCTGCCACCACCACCGACTTGGCTGCTCCCTGGGTCCACGTGTAGACCACTTCCGAGACCGGATACGCATCTGAGTAAACAAGACAAAGAGAGACATAACTGATTTCTGCATTCACTAAAATTAAAAATATCTAATGAACGCATGCTGTTGCACAATTTTAATTTGACTCTAATTTAGCGTGTGACGACAGGAGGTGCAGACCAACACGTCCTCATCGATACCCGTGGAAACAGCTGATTTACAGTCAGGCAGAGCGAGTTTGACACGGAGAGAATCAGAGACACGCAAAAAGAAAAATCATAAATATATTCAAATCATAATTTTATGTTGCAGTAGGTCTCTTTCTCTCCTAATATTGATTTAGACTAAACTCAGCCAAGTTTTACTGATTTGCTGAAACGATGAGTCGATTTAATATAAGTTGATTAACAGCAAATTAAGCAGTAACTATTAGGATTTTTCTTTTCTTCAATGCAGTTATAATGAGTGATAAATTGTTGTCATTGTAAATTATGAAGAGCAGTTTTCACTGATTCTCTGACATTTAAGGAGCAAAACAAGAGGCTTTGTACCCGATAACATGAGAGCTGCAATGTGCTTCACACACACACACACACACACACTCACACACACACACACACACACACACACGCACGCACGCACGCACGCACACACACACACACACACAGGAGAGCAAGAGACAATCAATTAATCAAAAAATAAGCTTCAGATTAATCAATCGTTATTGGCAGCACTGATTGGACACCAGTGCTTTTAATCTTCCTGTGGATCAGGAGACGGTTCTCCAGCGTAACATGAGGCGGTACAGTAACCCCACACCTGAGAAAACGAACTACAACATGTTCACACATCTATTTTCTTTGTGGCTTTGAATCACTGCATCACTAAAGTGTCACCTACTAAAATATGGATCACTAATGAGGCCAAGTGCAATCACTATGTCTTAACTATTCCCTAACAGACAGGAGAGGCAGGGTGGCCGTAGTTAGAGCAGGTTGACCATTAGTTGTAAGGTTGTTGGTTCAGTTCCCCGGCCATCATATCTACAGTATATGTCAGTGTTCTTGAGCAACACACTGAAGCCCAGATTGCTCCTGATTTGTGGAGGGAAACAGTGGATGTCAAAGTTAATGCCCTCCCGCCTCAGTACATGTTCAGTGTATTATTGTCATGTTCACTATGAGATTTTGTTGCTACTTCCTCTCAGGCAAAGATGAGTTTGATAAAAAAAAGACATGTTATGTCAATGCAATTATGTAAGCGCTGCGTTTGTAGACATGTTAGTTTACAGGTGCAGGTACTCTGTCGTAAAAAAAACAAAAAACAAGTCACTGTTAAGCAGATCAACTCACGTAGTCCATTTATTTTCCATCTTTTAGTGCTGGAAAATCAACTAACATGCCACTGTTTTCTTCTGGGCTCAGTATATACGAGAAGCTCATTGGCCACACAGAACAGACACAGAGATCAACAATGTAGTCCCAGCATGGTTCCACATAAACTACATTTACATCGATCATAATGAAGTAATATGTCCTTCAATGCAACTGTGAGGAACACTATACGGCACAGAGACATAATTTGTTGTTTGTATGATAAATTCATTGTTGGTTTTGGTCTCTTCAGGGTCTTTGTTGACCACAAACTAATAGATGCTAAAGATAACCCCAGCCTTATTCTTTAAAAGCAAACACAATATACATGAAAGGTCCAATCCAGTGTAAAGGTCTGTGTCCATGTGTAGTGTGATTATAGATCAGGTCTAGCTTCTATATTAATACTGTGAAAGTATCAAAGCCTCAGTCCACAGAGAAATGCACACAGCCTGTATTCAGAAACTGAGCCTTAAAACCAGCCGTCAGGACTTCTGGAACTTTGTGATGTCACAACAAAACGAGCCCCGCCCACCTGGACCCAAGACTAAATCCAGTCTTGCAGGATTTGGTTTCTGAGTGTTTTACCTGAAATCTGTTGTATTTTTATTCAATCACTGTCAAAAAAGTCATATTCTTTAGTCAGCCAATCAGAAGCCTCCTCTCTTCTGATTGGCTCACAGACCTGTTGTTGCTAGAGCTCCAGAGAGAAGCCTGAGAGAGGAGATGTAAAACTACACTGAGGTGGTTTTTGGTTCTTAAAACAAACACATCTTCTTATGGATCAACACGTCAAATAAAACACAGGAAAAGTGTAAAATATTGGACCTTTCATGTCAACACCTAAAATGTTCCTCTGATTAGAAATTGTCCAGTAGTTGCACAATTTGCCCGTGGATCTATAAATTGTTTTCACGTTGTTGTTACTCTTCCTCTTCCTCATCGTCTCAGATGTTGCTAGCTAAGAAATGTGGCCCGGCTGGGACACAACACTTGACCTTTCACCCACTTTGCTTCATTACACAGAGATTAACTTGGTGTCAGTGTTAAAGAGCTCGTGTTTGGATCTGATGTAATCAGTTTGAGTGTATCACAATACGCAGATGTTACTGATGGTATGATTTAATGTGTGAAGGTTGGCACAGTTTGACAGATTGTCTTGAATGAGTCTCGGTTTCGCTCACAGGATTTGACCGGTTGGATTTGTACAGTTCATATTTTAGTTGCTAGTTTACCGTCAGTTGTGATTGTGTTTGCCTCTTTCATGAGCTGATGTTTTTCAAATACTCTGAATAAACAGTCTGTCATTCATTCAGGTTCATCTGGAAAGCCCTGCAAACACAGTCTCACTCACTCTGTAGTACAAACCACACACACATACTGTAGATGCTCTAAATCTGTGTGCGTGTGTGTGTGTGTGCAAGCGTGCGTGTGTGTGTGTGTGTCTCAATTGTACTGCAGTGCAGCGTCCAATCTAACAGTATTGCATTAATCCAGCAACTGTGGCGTTAGAAGACTTCACAGCAATTTAGATTGACCCCAGTCAACCAGTCTGTGGATTATCGTCTCAAAGACACTCCACATTGTCTCAAACATGTCTTTGTACAACTGTGTTACATGAGCAGTTGGATTTGTTATTTCCTTTTAAGGGCGCACAGTACTCGCAGGTTGTATGAGAAAATTATGACTAAAAAAAAATATCACTTACATTTAATTCCCTGGTGATTTTGTTTACATTGGACGTTCCAGAGAGCTGCACTTTGTACATAGGAAGATAAAAGACACATTATGTAATGGCTTAGCCATTCATTGCTTTAAAAGTGACATAAAAAATGAACTTTAAGCCAGTGTAATCAGACACTGAAGGTTACATAGTTTGGTTATGTGTGTTAATGCTGCATTCTGGACAAGCTGCAGTTTTGTGCTTTTGATTGATTTTGAATTGTCAATATGAAATTATTATAACCTTCATTTAATCAGGCAGTCTCACTGAGATCAAGATCTATTTTGCAAGAGAGACCTATGTTTAGAAAATCAAATAAAGGAATAAATGACTTAAGGCAATAAAGGCATCACAATAACCTTGTTTTAAAGAGAGCTTCTTGAAATTTAGGTCAGAATCAGAAACAAGTGGCAGACGTCTGTCAGACAATAATGAATATACAGTGAGGCTGAGGGAAAGTGGAAGTCACTGTTTCCAACCAGGGAATAGCCCAGCCCATAACTGCTCACTGTGTCGTCCCTTTTTTACACTTCAGTTTTTGTGCAGGTTAAACAGATGAGACGCAGCATGTGAGCGAATGCGCCTCAGAGATGCTGGTAGGTGGATGTTGTTATTGTTGGACAGAGCCAGGCTAACTGTCCCCCTCGTTTCCAGTCTTGCGCTATGCTAACATATTTCCTAAATTGTTAAACTGTTCTTCTAATACAGTAGAGCTCCATTGGATAAATAAATATAACTTACATTGAAACTAAATCAGGCTGTTAATGCAAATGGAGTTATTAATTTCTTTTGTGCCGGTGGTTTTATCCTCAGTCTCATCACTTTCTGAGGAATGCCTTTGTTTACTCTTTAAAACTTTTACAGTAAACTTAGTCGAGGAAACTAATTGGAGTTGTCTTCAAACAATACTCACATACCTGTTTATATGAACACCTGACTTTTAAGACGGACTTGAAAATGAAGATATTCTTAAAGTGTGTTACAGTGCGGTGTCCGATACGCCATCGTTTCTAATGAAACTGTAAACGTGTCACACATGCAGACTCACACACATTCTCTGTGGTAGACGGTTAATATGTGGAGCGTTTTCTGCACTGTGTTCTGAAGCCACTGTAAAACATTAATGGCACGAAGAAGAACCCGTGAATAACTTTTAGCAAATATTAGTTAAAAACTGATGCATACTACACATTAACACTGCTGACCTCCATTCTGTGGTCTGTATGTATGTTCTGAATTCAGGGGAAGCAAGTTAAATCAACTGCTAACACTGGAGAGTCACTGACATTCAAACATATTTTTTGGCTTTTCTAGGCTGTAAGCTTCGATTTATGTCCATAACAGTTGACTCCAGTTGTGATCAGTTTTTATAGTCACTATCAATAGTAACTTTTTTAACCACACATACTGTGTAATCCATTTCTCTCAGTTTGATCAGTATTTTCAAACATGTCATATTCTTTCAATACGGTTAAATAATAGTTAAATAATTAATAAATGTTTAATAATTCAAGTATTAAACATCTGTTCTTCCTTACGTTGGGATAAAAACTGTATGTGAATGACACAGAAACACAGGAAGCCTTTACAGCACTCAGTGATCTCTTTGATACTGCCGTTCACTGCGAGTGTGCTGCACACATGAAATACTGTAGTGTTCCAACAATTCTTATTTAAAATGCCTCGTAGTTCTTTACAGCCGTGGTTAAATACAATAACTTGGATACAAATAAGTTTATATGTGACCTTTGGTTGACAGGCAGGCTGGTAATGGGGCATAGTAACAGTATTGATTGTTATAAGTCATGCTGATGAGAAATTAAAGGTAAATGTATGAATACTATGAAGATGAGGGGGTCAATACTTATGTTAAATAAGCAGCAAATGCAGCAATAACATCTATACCTGCAGCAAACAGTAAGTTTTATTTTTGATCTTTAGGAGCGTGAAGAGTGTGAAAATGTCAAAACGTCCGAACCTTGCACTCTGTACTGGTTTACACGCACTTATGAATTTGCAGACACAGGCTTTATCCAGCTCCTTGGCTTGTTTCAAGTGTTTCTCCCGCTGTGTGCCCTTTCTCCTGTTCCACCACAGGCTGTTTCACAACACCTCTCAGTGACTAGTTAGAGCCGCCTTTGCTCCAGCTGTTGAGAATGATGACACACGTCTTACCTCCCCGCCCATGTTTTCTGTCCATCGACAAGCGCAGAGAGACGTATGGGCTGACACGAGAGTAAGAAAAACAGCCTAATGAACGGCGGGGTTATCTGCATATATCCGACAGCGGGACACACTTTAATAAGCACCGAGGTGTTATCTAAAAGAAAAAAACAAGCTGTTAGGGTTACTGGGTCAACAGACCGTCTGAAAGGGGGGAGACAATCTTCTGTCTCCTTTTGCTTTCTATTTGCATTTCAGGTCATTTGCAGGCGTGTGAGACGGACTTCTGCTATTCATTTCTGAGATGCAAGCTATTACCTTCAGCTATGAATTAGAGACCTGCAAGAACGCAGCATTAAGATTTGTATGTTATTGTTGTAAATGAAATCCTTCCAAGTCCTACGAACAGGCTGGAGACGGCCTGTTGTGGTCTTACACTTGATATGAATGTTTTTATTAGTAAAGGTGGAGGAAGGAAGGGAAAACAAGAAACAACAATAAATCAATTTAAAAGTATAACTGTGTAAGTACTGTGTCTGTGGATGCAGAGTGTTTAATGTGCTTTAACATCAATTAAATATATTAGTTTAAAAAACAGATAATTATTCATTTGTAATTCTCTCTAAATGTCAGTTTGTGTTCACAAAGCAGAACAAAACCAGATAAGTCTAAGAAGAGAGCAGCTAACAGAACAAGCTAACTCCTCCATCTTCTTCCTGTTATGTCTTGTTGTTTAGCTTCTTCTCTTAAGACCTGCCCAGTTCTGCCAGGTGGGTCTCAGGAACGGTTTGATATTTTTTGATATCAGGACAGAGCCCAGCTAGTTTCCCTCTGCTACCAGGTGTTATGCTGTAGGCTAAGCTGAAGCGTCCTGGGTTTAGCTTTGTGCCGTGAGTGGTACTGGCCGTTTTGAGAAAGCAAAATAGCAAATAAACGTGAAGGTGGATACGGTGAAGAGGAAAAATGTAGGCTATCACAATGAAGAGGTTTAGAGAGAGTAAATGGGGGCAAAATGGCACGTTATCATGTGTGAGACTGCCAGGGATTAAATGTAAACAACTGCATAATGCGGCCCCCACAATAGAGCACGATTGGGCCGACTCTGGGACTGATTCAGCCCTCCCGACAATCACAGAGGTGATCCCAATCCAAACCAATTATCTGCCCAAATGATCCTGCTGTGTTTACAGACGTAATATTAACCCTAGTTTTGATCACGCAGGTTTGTTGTGTTTCAAGTGTGTGGACTTACTCGCATCTTTACTTCCTCGTCTGGCGTGTGCGTTCTTATTTTCTAAATGATCGGTTAAATCCGTCATTATGTTTGTGATCTCCCACTTTTTTTTTTTTTTTTTTAATTTAAACATTTAAAAAGTTAAAATCCTCTCGTGTGCACCAAGTCTTAGACCTGCTCAGACCAGGACATGCGGCAGCAGCAAATAAATACTTCCTTTACATTGAAGCCAAGACAATTATATCACACACTGTTTGGAGCTGCAGCAAAAGAATCGTGAGCCAGAGAATGAGACAGATCGTAGGTTTCAGTTCATGAGAGGTGATTAACACAATGGCAAAGGGCAGGTCTACTGGAGCTTTGAAAGCCTTGAGCCCCGGGGTGAGTGCTGTCCATTAGGTCAAAGGATTATCTGGGGTTAATGGAGTCGGGGGGGGGAAACAGGATATACTGTACCACTGTAACTTTTACAGCTTATAACCTTGCATGGGCTGTATGTTTGCTGTCACATTAGGTTTTAAAAGTTGTTTAAAAGTACTTTTTATTCTTCAGTGAGCAACATGTCACCTCCATTGCAGATGGAGATGTGTGATAATATTCTCACACAGTTTATAAAAACCCTTTAAATGGGAATATAAATGTGTCAAACACTGAGGCACATGAATATAACATTGACATCACATCAATGCTTTTTGTTTGGTTTAATTATTTATTTTTTAAACTATTATATTATAGTATAATTTTGGATATTTACATTTAATGTTTAATGTATTTATTACCAGTTACACTAGCTGTCAAAGGTTTTATAGCACTCACATTCTGACAGTTTTTATTGAAGTTCGAGTGAGTCCAGTGAATAACTTTAAATGGGTTATGATTAATGAATGATAAACTGGCCCAGGTAAAGTTTAGGTCACCAAAAACTGAATATAATTATTATTATTATTATTATTATTCAGGGATTATGAAACGGGTTAACTTCCAGCTTTCCTGCAGGAGATGCATTATTAGGACAGGAAGTAGCTCTGTGGTATTATTGGAAGGAACGTCACGTGTGTTCGGCTGCCGGATGAGTCAAAAATTTAGATTAAATTTAGTTCAACAAGGAGATTCAATGATTCTTTTCTGAGACACTGGATTATGGTAATATTCATATATGTGTATATTTTAATCTTATAGCCTCAGATTTTCTTGACTGATTAACATTAGCCATGTTTCCGTCCAAATGTGGCACAAATCTAAACTGAACTTCCTGACAGTCAACAAAAAAAAAAGAAAAGAAGAAGTGAATTAATGCACATTTCCAACCACTATTCACAAAGTCTGTTTCCACTGCACTTTGCTTTTATCGGTTCTCGAACGTTTCCACCTCAGCCAAAGCTTCCGAGGTTTTAGCAGGTTTTTGTATGAATTGAATTGAAAATGTGCAAATAAGCAGATGGATGGTTTTTCTTTCCTCCCCTATCTATTGTGTATGTGCATCCACTGAGCTGGGGAGTGTGCTGTTGCATACAATTGCCCTTGTAGGGGTAAATAAAGTTGTACTGCATTCAAGTATCTCAGCCAGCTGTAATCTCAGTCCCTGATTCTACAGGATCCCAGGTAAAGACTTCTGTATTTAAACTTTTGAGTGGTTTTGACTTTCTGGGCTCCCGGACAAGTTAACTGACACAGTTGACTTGGTGTCAAGTACGAGGTTGTCTTGGTTAGTTGCTCTGATTAGCCCCACCCCCCCGGTCTCAGCTGGGGGATGAGGTGACCGACGCGGGCGTGGGAATGGCTAAATGTCACGACACAGGGCATGCGGCGTGCTCCGCCTCTGAGACGAGGCCCGAGCTAACCCTCCATACGTCAACAGCAGGGAAGACCTCAAACGCTAATCTTAAGATTACCAGACAGGAGCTCCCCAGATATTTTTGTACCACTGGAGCCGTGTGACGCAACCTAACTAGCTTACACAGCAAGTAAGTAAATAAGTAAGTCATGAGGACGGCTGTGGTTTAGCTGTGCATGTGCAAGGTACAGGATTGGATTTTTACATCTTACCTTGGTGGTAATTGCAGGTCTGGTGTGTGTGTGTGCGTGCGTGTGTGCGTGTGTGTGTGTGTGTGTGTGCTCATACTGCTGAGGTTTTCACTGTGTGTGTTTCAAATATTTCCCATTAAATGTAGCTGAGGCAGTGAAGGATGCAGGAGAGCAGCCCTGACATGTTGATTAATGGCTTAATCAGGAGCAGTGTGTCAGTGTCTGCATGGCTATCTCCTGCACCACAACAATAGCTTTTCACCTGAGGGACACAGGCTGTCAAACACGCCGAGGTACATCCATCCCTGTGTCCTCTGCATGGATAAAGTCACTGACACTGATGTCATGCTGCTTTTCTCACTGGTCACCTCAAATGTTTTGTTTCATGTGTCACCGGAGTCGAGGTTGCAGACATGAAACATTTACACCGTTCTTTTTCCTGCATTATTTCATGTGATTATCCACTGCATGTGTGTATTTCGCTTAGAGGCGTCTTTACTCACAGCTTCCGAACTTAAGGGGACAAGCATGGGCGTCCATGGGGAAATCCTCCAGTTGCATGGGGCATTCTGCTGATATTGTCAGTCTGAGAGAAGAAATCAGAAAATAAATTGACTGTGTGATCATCATCATCATCATCATCATCATCATCATCATCATCACCACCCATTTTCACTAATCAACATATCCCTTTATTATAAATAATGTGTTTCATTTTGGTGCTGCTTAATTTTATATAGAACCATTAACCAATGAAAATCACAGTTTGTCTTCATTAGTGAGTCTCAGATTATTGATCGCTGAGTAAAATGTAACTTTCCCAGCTCAGAGCAATAATCGACTGAGCCACCAGAGGGACCCATGATGATTTCTGTCTGGGAAGAAATGATGCCGTTTTGTGTGCAACAATAAGCCTGAGAATCATTTGAGAAAACAATTGAGGATTATTTTAAGGCGTGAGGCTCACACCTGCCTTCAGAGCTGCAATAAAGCATAAATAAAGCTTTATTGGAAACACAGCAGAAAACATAAACCCGGGGGAGGGGGGGGGGTTTAACCTTGCAGCCTTATCTAATGCTGCCCTCTGCTGGCCACACTTGTAACAGTCAGAGCTGCTGTCATCACCATGTAAATCCACACACACACCCAGTGACGCCACGACACAAAGCAGGAACAGGACACTGTCTGCTCTACAACATCACACACCAATACTAGGTAACACGAAGGCAGCGCTTGGACTGTACTGTTCTATTCCAACAATAATTCAAAGGGAAACATTGTACTTTTTAGTCCAATATATTTATCTGACTTTTGTTTTCTAGTTACTTTGCAAATTAATACTTAACAAACAAATTATACAATTATCTTTATAAAATATGATGCATTGTTGTAGATTAACCTGCTGGTGGCTCATTCATTTCAAACTCAAGCTGTGCAGCCAAATTACATGAACTTTATTTCAGATTGTTGTGCGGATCAGAAGATACCGAACACGTCAGGCTGAAACTTTGGGAAGAACTGTACGAAATGATGCACATCTAGAACCAGGGCTGCAGCTGATTCATGTTTTCACCATCGATTAATCTGCTAATCTGCTTTTTTTTCTCGATTAAATCGTTGAGAAATTGTCAAAAAAAAAAAAACACCCATCACAACTTTGCAGAGCCGAGGCATTGTTGGCATTGTTTCATTATTTCTGCTTAAAAATGACTGACAACAAAATAGTTGCAGATCTTTTTCTGCCGATCAACTAATCGAATAATAGACTTGATGAAATGCTGCTGCCATTAAAAAAACATGCAATCTTTAGTCAGTGTAAACATGATACAGCTTCAGTATGGACCTGGAACAAGCTTATATATGACAATGTGCATAAAGCAGCTAAAATAGCTTCACATTGATCAGTTATGACTTTAAAATACCGCTTATATGTTATAAATAATAATTCAAATCAAAATAAAATAATGTTATATTACAACATACCACTATAATAAGATACCATCTTGTATGGAACCATTCTGCATAATGAGTATTTTTAATTTGGACACTTTAAGTTTTGAATGGAACATTTTTAGAGTGTGCTTTTGCTGCTTAAAGATCTGAGTTAGTCTTCCACCACTGATAAGACCTATACTATATGACTGTGCCACAATGCATATATAAAGTTTAAAATTAACCACAGAAGTGGGATTTCCGTATATTGAAGACCATCTGCTGTCTCAGCTGTTTTAGTGAAAAATCTGCTCCACAACAAAACAACTGACCTTGATCTGTGAGTGAAAGTGTGATATTACAGGACACGCTATTATTCTGTTTGTTAACCAGCCTTTGAAAGTCACCGGCTCGTGTGGTGGGTCTGTGTTATGTCATACATCTCCCCCTTGTGGAGCGTTATGCAAAGCTTAACTGGGAAAATGCACAATGTTTCTACTAAACCAGGTGTCCCTCTGACGTTTATCTTGATTCTCTGCTGAACAACACGCTGGATGTCTCAGCAGCATTAGAGCTGCAATCATTAGTTGATCATTGATTAGTTCATTTCTTCTGAAATGTAAGAGTCTGCTGCTTTGCTCTGTTTCATATCACTGTAAACTGAATGTGTTTGTGTTTTGAATTGTTGGTCAAACAAAACAAGTAATCTGAACATGGCACTTTTGGCTGTTGGAAATTACAGGAGGCGATTTTATAACTACAATCTGACAAAACAAACAAACAGGATCCATTTATCAATAAAATAATCAGCAAATTAATTATTAGAAAGTTTTTATTTTGTAACAACACCAGGGTGATTATACTTTAATTGTTTTTTCTGCTGCTCTGTCAGTAGCAACGGTACTGGTGTAGAGGCAGTTTTTCTTTTTAAAGCGGGTGTTTATTTGAGATGAATTACGAAAACAAAGTGTGTTACTATCAAAGTGCAGAACTACAACTACTACTTTCCAAGCAACGACTTCACAATAAATGGGCAGCGATCAATGGCTTTGATTAGTCACACATTATAGGTTACTGACTCTTTACTGGATGAGAATGACCGATAAGAACAGTGCCGACCAGCGGAGGAAAAACCCAGTGGAACAAAAGAAGGAAATTGCTGACATCCATGTTATTTCACACAGGTACATGTTATGTTTTAGATGAAGAATGAAATGAATGTAATCTACTGTGAAGTACAATCAGAGTCTGGAATACACTGTGTGTGTGTGTGTGTGTGTGTGTGAGGCCCACACTGCTGGGCTCAAAACTCTGTCTTTCCTCTGAGAGATATTTTCATGCTACACTAGCTCGGGCTCTGTGCACTGCTCGCTCTGTGGACAACCAATGTAGGAGAGTAATGCATGCATAAAATGTTTCTCTAATAACCTTGTTCCCAGAACACAAATGCATTAACACGGCCCATCGCGAACCCATTTCTAATGGCTTGTAGTGTTCGCAAATGTACTGTAGATTTGTAGCAGTTTTAAAGTCAGTGGATCAATAGTCATTTTTTGACATGCAGCCATGCCCATTTCCTCTAACTTCCTTTGTTAATATTTGATTTGGAGGATTTATTGTCCCGATAAGATGATGACACAGCACTGAACTGAAAGTGGATGTAAATGAGATGATTCTATCTAGGATATAATATTTCTGTCTACAGTATAAAAGGATCCATAAACCAAACAAACACTAATAATGATGCTTTAACCACATAAAATAAATGACTCTTAAGTCACAGAACCTGCAAACAAGATAGATAGATTCTTTCTCTGTCCAGCAGCTCAATAGCAGTGATAATAACAGCTGATAATAATAATTATAATAACAGTAAAGATGCACGTCACACCTGTCTACAGCAGCTCATATGATTATATTTCATTTAAAAAGGCTACAAACTGTGAAATGGGGACTATGACTGAGTGCTGGGGCAGTAATAAGCACAATAGGTTATGCTGTTTTACTTTCAAAATAAAGGTTTCTGTGATGTGGTGACATGATAAATGGTAGAGGAGCGCGGAGTGAGGAGGAGGAGGAGGAGGAGGAGGAGGAGGAGGAGTGAAACCCTCAGTTCTCTGTGTCAGAGCGCTGGGTCAAAGCAAACATTTCAAGTTCCCCTGACCTCCGGTACACAGTGTGAGGACAACATGATGACGCATCAATGCACCACTGAGACATGTAGTATGAGTGTGTGGGCTGTATCAGTGCAGCAGGGGTCTTAAAAAGCATTACCAAAGAGCTATCACAGGCTGATGGAGGTCTTAGTCATCTGTCCAGTTCTAATTGGATTATACAACATTTATAAACAGCACTCGCCAGGTCTGGTGACTCAGTGTTTTAGCTGAAAAGCTGATTGGAACAGAAGTGTTTATCCTACTGTGGTCTGAGGCAGGATTAAAGGTCAGCCTCGGGAGAGCTTACCTCATGGTATAGAGAAGAGTCCCGTCGTCTTTGAGCCGCAGCAGCTTGTTAGGTGTGGTCATGTTATGGGCGATGGATTTCTTCCCGTTGAGGAAGAAGGTGTCGGGCGTCCAGATGTTACTGGCCAGGAGATTATTCAGGGGAAGCATCTCCATCGGGCCTTTGAAGCAAAGTCTCTCATCTTTCCAACTTTGGCGGAAGAACACGTCAATAGTGTATTCCTACACAGGACAATAACAACACATATTGACTGTTTACTTCCAAACATATGAGAAGTAACTTGAGCTCTTTGAAACCATGGAGCCTCATTTAAGAATCTAAAAACACGACAGTATGTATATATTCAGTATATAAAGTTTATGCATAGTATGTTAGAACTGACTCTGCGTCTTTCACATGTTCATTTCAACATGTGTCTGTCTAAATAATGATGGTGAATCTGTCATGATACTGTGATAAAATGAAAGTGTGGTTGATTCAAAACAGTAACTGTCACTCCTACATAACGACCTGTACAAGAACATTGTTTTGTATTTAGTACATTACAATGTGATTTTTAGAACCTTAATTCCATTATTTAAACTATCTATAGATTATACAGAGGGTTGTGTTGTATGCAGCATTACAGGTGGATTTTAATTAAATATTTAAAATTGTCTCAAATGATCTGATCCATTTAGTATAAGTATAAATAATATAACAGAAGAAGTTTCTCACCATCTCAGTGTCGGACACTGGACCAAAACTTGTGACGAAGATGTTGGTTTTGATCTCCGTCACCTTTTCTGTAAAAAATAAAAGTGTATAGTAAGTCTTTATGATAGCTTTTTATTTTGACTGCAGGTTTTACGCTTCCTGTGACATCACACAAAATTACAATAGGTACCACTGAAGGAGGGGGGGGGCTAAACAAACTGTACAATACTGAAATAATCCAGATATTAGTTTGGTGACTGGTTGAATTTGAGTTGTTTCAGAAAGGTTAAACTTTGAGTGAAGGTTGGAAGTGATGAGTTTGATTCACCATTAGTCTATTTAACAGACTAAAGGTGTCGGTGATGGAGGCTGAAGATTGAGGTTGTGTCAGTTAAGAAACTGATTGTTCAACCTTTGAAAGATGCCGTGTTTAACACAACGCGACTTCCAGGTTCAGATTTCAATACTTTAATTAATTTCATTAAATACTATACATCCACTGGAAGCTGCAACAAGCTTTGCACTATGTTACCACCGACACTGCCGATGTGGAGTCGGTTTCAACACTGACTTCTTTGTTGAAGCTGCTGTACGTCATGTACAGTAGGACTGAGATGTGAATAAGGTAGAGTTATGCATAATATAAATGCACTGAATGTGGATGTAGTTTATTTCACTTTTCAGTCCAGATCAATTTCCATCCATATTCAACATAATTATAATGTGGTTTATTCAATTTGCTACTTAACTAACTGTATTTCAAGGATTTTGAATTTTAATAAAAAGTTTTCAACTGTCTAAAATATTCTGTTCCCTTTAAATATCAGAACGTATTAGAAATGCAAAAAAAAGGAATAAGCATTCTCCCCATTCAGATTGTACTATGTGAAAAACCCAATGACACTCACGATAGTTAGACAACACAGTTTACTTTCTACAGTGTGTTTATCGTCCAGGCTTCGGCCCAGGACAGAGGTGGATGGATGAATTACTGCCTGTTTGAGAACAAAACAAATCCCTTATTCTGGTCCAGCAGTTAATGAAAGTTTCAACACTTTAATTCAGGATCCGCTTCAAAATCAAAAACTCCTCAATGTCAAAGTTAATTAAAACCCCAGTGCTGTACAGGAACTAGAAAAGGTCTGACTCTGGTGACCTCTAGTGGCCTGTCAAGGGAGGTGCTCTTGAATTTAAGCAATGAGTATTAGTTAATGATACTCAATACATGAAGTACCTACTGGAACTTTATAAGGCTCCTAACCATGATACAGTCAGTGAAAACACCTTGAAGTATCACATTTTACTTTTAATTTAACAAATTGAGTTAATGATGCGTAATCATTTAAATGTAAAACGATTAAGCATCATTTAAAAAGTGTTTTATCTGTCGGGATCCGTTTCATAAAACACTGTGATATTAAAATTACAGATCAGTATCAAATAAACATTTTCTCTACTTATTGTATCGACCTGAATCAGTATCTTTCCCATTTCTCTTCTGTGACGTGAACTTTTCAGGTCTCGCCTACTTTGGCCTCCGTCTGCCGAGAACAATGGAGCTGCTGTTTCATCAAAGCAATAAAGGCTTTCTCAAGGTCACACCTATGAGCTTCAGCGTGTGTTCATAGTGCCATTAAATCATATTTAGAGGAGGTCTGTAAAGCTGGTCATGACTCTTTGTGGAAGACCTCGTGACTACAAACATGTTTCCCTTTGTCTGGAATAAGCAGACGGCAGATGTTGCAGTGCAGAGCATTGTTCTCTGTGTGGACCGAGAGGCTGTAATCTTTCACGCAGAGATATCGATACGGACGCTGAACAACACATTTTTCTTTGGTTTAAGCGCAGAGCTTTCTGGACCAGATAGAAAACAGAGATCCCCCAAGACATTTCCTAATGGCATAATCAGTTCTCACCTCGCATGTGTGTGACTGTATTAATTACCACAGTGACGGGAGTGTTGAAGTTTATATATTCAGTGGGCTTACCTCCCAGTCCAGGGCGGAGTCTGTTGTCATAACCATCCAGCAGTCCATCCAGGATGCGTGTGAAGATGGTGATGTTGTCATTTAATTCTGCCTCTTTGGGAGTTCCAGTTACATCCTGGGAGAGGCTGGACATAAGAGCATTTTTTTTTTTTAAATAATGACTTTGGAGGCGAAATCAGAAAAAGACAAAACTCTTAAAACGAGAGATAACCTTTAGGACAACCTATCTAAAAGTTGATTTAGGACTTAAATTCTGATCTTTCAAGCAAATATCAACTGACTGAGAGGTGAATTATTCAAAATGTGCCTTTATAATGCCCTGGAAAGTTACAGGAGTCAGTTCCTTACCTCAGACGGCAGGTGATGCTCACAAGCAAGATACAGACCCACAGACGTCTCATTGCAAAGCTGTAGCACATTCCATCGCCCATTCCTGAAACAAGATATCCTCACTCTTAAAACTACATTAACTGTCACACAAGCACTGCTGACTGCTCACATCTAAAATGAAAGCGGTTTCATTTTTTTGAATTATGTTTTGTAAACCCTCCCCTGTCCTAGCAGTTACACTGTGCAAACTAAATAATAAATATCAAATAACACTTGCTGTATTTGTTTTTCTAACAAGGCACAGTACTGTAGGATAATGCAATCAGCTGTTATTGCAGGCTTTAACTGGCATGGTAAAAAAAACAAACAAATGCACTCACTGAATGCCTTAAATGTGTATCAGGTGCACAAATGTTTTCCTTACTATATGAAAATAACAAATGCTGTCTCAGTCACAGAAATGCAGCTATCTCCATGTAACCAAATGTGTGCACAGATGCAATTTTCCTGCCTAAACACAAAACTGGGCAACATCTGTAGGATCTGCAGATGTTAGCTGATGTTGGGAAAAAAAAAAGCTGATCATGCAAAGTGCTAAGTTCCTTCTTCTTCGATCAGACTTGCAGTATGTCCCTCCTCTCTTTGTTAGACTCCCTCCTAGCCCACCCATCTCACTGCAAGACCCTCTCTTCAATTTCACTAATGAACCTTCTCAGTTAAGTTGATCACTCCTGACAGGACACAGGCTGAGCTGAGCTGTATTGTCCACCACTGGATGTCCAGTCAAAGCTAAAAACGTGTGAGACGAGACGGCTCCACCTGGACTGTATATACATCTACACCCCTGATCCGAGATTCTTCTCAAGCACAACTGTAAACCCGCAATCCTTTCTGCACCGCGGCTGGACTCTTAACATACAGTAAATCTGTACGCACCCCTGCACCGCATCCCCCCTCATTCACGACTCACTCGTGCACTCACTCACATCCCCGCAAGCCGACGGATCCCCCTCCAGCGGGATGGGAAGTGTGAATACCTCTGTTCCTCTGACTTTCATCACCACCGTCCGCGGTTCTCTAAGTCTACCCGGTGCAGGTCCTCTCCAAACAGCAGCAGCAGCAGCAGCAGCAGCAGCAGCAGACCTCGGGTACACACTAGCCTGTTCTCCACCAATGCCCACACGTCCCACTACATCTCCTACAGTACACTGGCCTATAACAACGCTCTGCTGCACAGGCGCTGAGCCGCAGTTGCCAAAGCTTACCACACAAGACGCTGCGCAGTCAAACTTCTCCCAGCTCCGCAGATAATCTCACACGCAGATTGCACTTTTCAGTATTTGGCATCAATTCTGAGGGAAGTCACCTCCATCCGCGCACAATAATTGCATATTGGAAAGAGAAAGCGAAGGAAGGGGGGAAAAAAAAGAAAGAAAGACGTGCACTAAATTCCCTGTCAGCGAGGTTTATTTCGCCCCAGAGCGATTAAAAGGTTGGCAGCGAAAAAATAAAGGCTTCCCAACACTTCTGCTGACTGACCATCCTTTAGTTGGGTCTCTGAGGAGACCGCGAGCACACAGCAAGCGCTGCAAAAAATCCAATACTGTATCCAAAGGCAAAGTACAATGCAAATACACGTTGATGTGAATTGCACAGACGAGCGTGCGGTGTGGCCAGAAGAAGAGCAGGAGGATATGTGGCCAGTGAGTGGAGGAGAGATGAGGAGGAGAGATGGCGAGGCAGAGCGGGGAGGAAGAAGAGGGAAGAATAAAAAGGATAAAGTATCAGTAGTAACAATGACAACCGTTAGAGGGATCTTCACATCCACACAAACCTCCCTGAAACATCTAATCACCAGACTGTATCTATATCTACACTATATCTCTGAACAAATATCATTGTCTGTGGGTGTAAAAACTTGGGTTAAAATAATCAGTACAGGAATTTTATATTGATAAACCACTGTGGTGCTTCTTCAGTTTTTTTAACAGTGTTGTAGTGTTTTATGTTGTGTCAGCTGGTTAAAATGAGCCTTTTCCACAGCTCTATGATTGTGTGGAGAGTTGGGATGCACTGATCTAATCTGCCGGATCGGGTTCAGCCCGATACCGTCCAGATCGGGTGTGTGACTGATCCTCGTTACACTAAATACATACAATGCTTCTGTTCTGTTCCATTTACGTACATTATTTATTGTGGTGAGCTCCTACTGTATAACAAATACTGCAGTCAGTAGACCACACACACACACACACACCAAACACTGACAAACTCACCATGTGCAATAATTGATACACACAAACTGTGCAATATCCCTTATGCTTATTTTTTGACATATCTTTAATATCTATTTGTAAATATGTTGCTATACTTTATCATTATATTATTTATCTGCTATTTATCTTTCATAAATTTTTAGCATTTGTTATTTTCATATTACAATTCTTTTGTACTATCCACTTTGCTGCTGTAACACTGCAAATTTCCCCACAGTGAGACTAATTAAGAACTGTCTTATCTTATCTTATCTTACTGCACAAACTGTTTGTTACACGTATTTGACAGGTTGAGGGAGATATCAGCCCTGAGATCATCATATAGTAAAGGTTAAAGTCTTCTGTGAGTTTAAAATGTAACTGTATCACATCAATGCAATTTTCTAAACTGTCTATAACTAAAATATGCAGAATAGAAAAAAAGTTAAGGGGCTGTGTGTTACAGTTACAGCCTCATGTTAACTTACACAGCAATGATCCCCAGTTCCATGCAGTCAAAGTAGTGTTATCTGGATTTTAAACTTGCAACAATGACAGCATATTTGTTGTATATTTGTCCTGATTCTGATACGTTGATACCCAGATTTCAGGCATTAGAATCAGCAGAGTAAAAGTTGAATGGTTGTATCTCTAGTCCCATGTGTTGCGTTTCCCTTATATGCAATTTTTTTCATTTTTGACCTTGTCAACCTTGTGTAGCCCTGACTTAAGTGGGACACAAATTTTTTTGGTTAATGGTCCAGATTACTGGAGGAGACAATGTGTCATACACTTCCGCCAGCAGCACAAATATAACTCAGAATACACACAGAATATCTCATCTTTGTGCATTCACTTCCACCAGGATAAGGGTCAACTCACCTACAACTGACTGTCGTATAGGGGTGGATTTCTTTTTCAATTTTAAAAGATTTGTTGTTTTTGAAACTGTAGCATTTTTATGATTTTGGTACTTGTGTTTTCTGACACTGATTTAAAACTGGAACAAAACTCCAGCAGGGTCAAACAGTCAAACTCACCACTGTACTGACACAGAAAGTAACGGCTTGCTTTTTTTGCATTTACAGGAATGCTGTTGATGGGAACAAAAAGTTGTACGCCATCTATGATACAAGGTAAGAATCACTCCCTAAATGTTGTTTTCTGAAGGATATTAAAAAATGAAAACTTATAAAAAGCAGTAGAGTGAGTAGTAGAAGGTTATTTCTGAAATGTAGCTGCAGACCAGTGTCTATTTCTTGATTAAACAGATGAAGAAATTTGTTGGGAAGAGTCCAGCTGAAGCACACTCTCGTTCCCTGCAGTGATATTGAACTTCTTTCACCACAGAAAATACTGTAGGAAACAAACAAAAAAAGAGCTCAGAGAGAAAGAACAGATAGATTTCTTCTCAACATTTCTCGTCAAAGCAACAATTGAAATTGAGCGACGCAAAAGTATTTCACACCAGATCCAAAGATTCTTTCGCTCTCTCTGCTGCCATGAACAAAGTCATCAGGGCCGGATTTAAGGTCCCATATTGTAGAAAGTGAGACTTCCATGTCTTTTTCGATAAAGCAGGTCTAGGTTCTATATTAATACAGTGAAAGAATCAAAGCGCTCAGTCCACAGAGAAATGCACACAGCCTGTATTAAGAAACTGAGCCTCAAACATATCCATCAGGATGCCCGTAACTTTTCGATAGTACACCTATACGTTCACCGCCCTTAGCCACGCCCCCAGCATGGCCCACCTGGACCTACCGTCCAAATTTGATCGTCTGTTCGGCTCATTTCTGTGCTCACTGACTATTGCCAGTCTTTTTAAACAGAATTTTTAGCAAGCAACAGTTGTAGGCTACAGTCTGTTACCTGTGGTTGGCCAGGGCCTGCATCACTCAGGGAACAGTCAGCCAATCAGAAGAGAGGCTCAGGGACCAACACAAAACGCTCTTTACTTGTTAGACCTCCAGAGAGAAGCCTGAGAGAGAAAGTGTTATATTGAGATGGTTTTAGTACTTAAAACCACAAATGTATCTTCTTATGTATATCGACACTTCAATTTAAAAAACGAAGAAAAAAACAAAAAATAAACAAAATAGTACACTATAATCTTAATGAAGGAGGATCTACTGCAGGGCTGTTGTATTAGACTACATCAGTTTTAGCTGGATGTTTCTAATAAATTGCTGAGTAAAACTGAGTGTATATTAGTAATTGTCAGTTGTATGCCCTGGCCGCAAAGAGCCTGACTGGAATTAATTGTTTGATTTTGGTGCTGTTCTCACCTGTACACTGATACACCTGGCAGCCTAAAGATGCTCTTTAGTTTAATAGTTTAATCATATATCATTATTATCACCATATAACATGTTTTACCTCTTCCCTTAAAATGTAACTTAACACATTTACTCCGAGACATTTTAACTGACTCACTTTGTACTTTTATCTAATATTACACAGTGATTTTACTTTTGTAGTAAAATGTCTTTTCAGCAACAGTAGCTCATGACCGTTGACGTACTGACGTGTTGACGTCAGTGTAGTGTTTCATCTCCAGTCTGTGGAGTTTCTGTTACTGGTAGTTTATTGCTGGTCTGTTTGAACACAGTTAAAGTCGCTGTTTTCTTCTTTACAGTTACTAACTACCTGCTGTACATTTAAACTTACACTAGTTTTGCTCTAGCACCCAGAGCTCTCTGCTCTTTTTAACGACTTTCACTAATTGAGCAGTTGTTTACATGCTATTCCGATGCTAGTTACGTTATCTTAGCAGCTAGCGCTAGCTTCTCTCTCTCTCTCGCTCGGTGTGTCTTGAACCAGCAGATGAACTTGTTCATCAGAGTGTGGTGTTGTTGTAACTTCAGTATGAAGGATTGTGATGTTTATTACAGCTTCAGGAATGTCTGCTGTCTTACCTTCGACAAACAGCTCCACTCGTTAACTGGCGCTACCCTCGTCAACCGGCTGTGTACACAGCAGCCTTCAACGTGATAGGCTATTACTCGTGACGTCGTGCTGTGGGCGGGACATTGTTCCAGATCACAGAGTGGAAACTATAGATCAGAGACAGACAGTTGCATCAGAGCCAGAGTAGCGCATTTTAAAATTGATTTATTTTATGATTATGGTTAAAAAAAAATCAAGGATACCATGATACCTAGAGCTCAGCCCACATCGGAATGATCTTATATGATTTCACTCCAAACAAAGTGCGAAGGAGTTCACTCAAATATTAGTAGGGACATGTCTCTACCGTCCGTATGCAAACCTACATTAGCATGTAGCAGTGAAGAGTAATAAAGTCATTAAACTGGCTCAGCGATGTCACCTGTAAAGGTAATATCTACTTAAAGCTAGCTAATGGTCACACCAGACCGAATAAGCAGACGCAAGATTGAATATAGCCTACTAATTAACAGAGCTGTTTATTTCATTGCTAATGAATTCAACTTTTCCTTTTGTAAGAATAAAAATGTTTCATTTCTTCGTTCAACAATTAAAAAGCCTGGCTTGAGGAACTTCTTATCCCTTCCCAGTTAGCGTATTTTTCCTACAGGTAATGAGGGGCTAGCCCCTATAGGATGTGCCTCTGCCTCTCAATGATTGACCTCCTGCTCTGTCTGCGACTCTCGGGTCAGGACAGCCGCTTTTATAAGCTCCTATAAGTAGACCGTCACGTGCCCTTTCATCATTACCAGGAGAGCCTCGCGCAGACTGACACCGCAGACTCATTTCCCCAAACTCAGAGTTTGTAAGAAGAAGGGTTTTTACTCTGAACCTGGGCGACAGCTCGCAGTGTATTTTACGCGCGGACCGCGGACCTGTGGATTTCTGTTGTTGTGATGGATGTTTGCTAAACGGTGGCTGGAGATGTGGAGCAGCCCGACTGAGGCTTCACGGCTCCGCCGCCGTATCACAGGCAGAGATGAACACATCTGACACCCGAGTCAGCGCGCCTCTGCCTCATGAAGCATGTTATAGCACTGGGGGTGGGGTGGTGGTGGTGGGGGGGTAGACATCATGTGGAAGTAGTCTCACCTGATTCAGGGGGGAGCGCCAGAGTTGAGCACCGTGGCTTCTTCATTTAGTCATTTGTTGACCGCTGGACAGCACCCACCCCTCCAGACACCACGCAAGGGATGTGGGGATCCCAGAAAACAGGGCTCTTTGACATTCTCTCCCTGCCGCTGGTCGTGGCAGTGATGTGCTGCGCTCAGAGGTGAGTGTCTGAGGGGGATAAAACCGGACACAAGTGTGGGTGTCCGTCTTCGAACAGAGTTACCGTCCTTGTTGTTTTGTTCTCTTTCAGCGTCAACGAGCCGGGGAACATGTCTTTTGTCAAAGAGACCGTGGATAAACTGTTGAAAGGATATGACATTCGTCTCCGACCAGACTTTGGAGGTATGTCTGTCCGTTTCACCCTAATGGCTCCCTGAATGTTTCCTTACACCCACGAGTCCATAGGTAACTTTATTGTGTGTGTTTTAAGGTCCACCGGTTGCTGTTGGCATGAGTATAGACGTGGCCAGTATAGACATGGTGTCAGAAGTCAACATGGTAAGTTTTATACAAACCTTCATTCATTTTTTCCTTCAGTCATTTGTAGCTTTGGACGACCTTTGTTTTCACTATTAATAAACCGGAAATTAATTGATGTAAAGTGTTACAGTGAGGGATTCAGTTCATTTAGAAAGTGTTTATAACTATTGCTTTTATTAATGGTTAACTAATATTTTACTAAAGCTTTATATATCAGTTATTTGCCATCATTAAGAGAATTTTGGGTTGCCAGGTTGTGGGAAAAAACCCCTATGGTTGGTGTTTATCTTATTTGGTAAAAATGTATTCGTAAATGTTGGTATCCCAGTAATAAATCATGGGTTTCTCATGTCAGCAGTTATATGGGAGCATATCACTTATCAAATTGTTCTCATAAATGATCTATAGACCATCAGTAAATTATTTATTAAGGATTAATAAAGCCATTATAACTCATATCCCTTTATAAATGGTGCCTTGTTAGAAAGTAAACATTAGCCTAAATGAATTTTTTTACAACCTTTTCTTATGAATGGCTTATAACGGATCTATAAATCTTTAGTAAATGACATTAAAAAACATTAAACATTAAAAATGTAACTAATCTCAATCTAAAACTACAACACACAGTAATCTGTACAACCTCCTGAACTGCTGTATGTAAACTGATAAAACCAGTTTACAGAGGCTCTTGTCTAGAGTGGTTTATTTGGTTTGGTTTAAATCCTGCTTCATAACTGTGAGACTAGCAGCGATGCCCTAATGGTCCTGTTAGGAGATAAGGTCAGGAAGTCCTGTTGTCATGTCTTCTCCACATAAAAAAAAGCAAGCCAGACCTTCAGAGGTGTGTGTGTGCGTGTGTGTGTGTGTGTGCGTGTGCATGAATGACGGGCTTGGCACACCATTCGTTCTACAGTTTAATGCCTGTATGCCATCTATCATTGGTGTGAACTGCTGACAGAGCTTGATGCCTGATCACATGGTACCAAGAGGAAATAGCCCCTGACATGCTGTCCTGACAAGTGTGTGTGATGAAATGTACCCATGGTGCATTTTAATGCATCTCTACACAACAGCAGGGACAGTGAGAACCACAGAGAAGCTAAACACTTGCCTCCAGTGACAACTGAGATTCAACTAAGACAGTTGAGTTAGCTTCAGCTTGTCATGTTAAATATTGTGGTTATATATACATATATATATATATATATATATTGTGGTTATATATATAATGGTTATATATATCTTTTTTTAATGCAGATAAAGCGTATTTTGTTGTTGCAGACGGATGAAATTTGAGAGGTTTTCATTTTTCATGTTGTAACTGGATTTCTTAAATGACAAAATCTCAAAATCCACACTTTTTCTCAGAGTTATAACTCAGCTGAATCTGAACTCATAAACATGAAACACATATTTTTAGATTTACTGTGTCTTACACTTTCTGGGGGTATCACCACAGTATAAAAGGCGCTCCTCAAAACTCCAGAACTTCTCTGAGAATCATCATGTTTTTAAGTTTTCTTCAGTATTGAAGGAACCTAGCGATAGATGTCTGAACGTTGCTAATTCAGCAAACTTTTAATGCATTTTTCTACATTGTGTTTGTCTACAGTGTCTTTAAAAACACCTGAAATACAATAATTGGCTTTACATGTAGGATGACTAGTGCCCTTTGTTTGTTAGCTTCACTGTTTTAAAATTGTACATAAATAATGCACCAATTTAATCATCCAAGCCATAGTTCTTGTTGTCATTAGTTCAAAATCCGACTACTAAACTGAGGCTGTTTAAATAGAGACCTACACATGGAAAGCGATAATCAGTCAAGTAAATTTCAGCACTTAATGGGCCAAACTTAATTTCCGGATTAGAGACCACACCTGCTTTTAACTTGAGAGTTGCTTGTCTGTGTAGCCATGCTGTGTGAAAGCATTTGGCCTCCTCAGTGGCGATCGTATCAGCCTGTCTGTGTTAATGGTTGGAGGCATGCAGATGGGACAGAGGAAATACAGCTCTTCCTCAGGCTGCAGGAATTGGACCTCTCTAGAAAATAAATACTCCCAGCGGCACTTGAGCATGTGCTAAAAATGATTTACCCATAATACAAATGATAGAGCACCAGGAGCTGATTGCATCCTGTCCATGAGGCACTATAAAAAGAGTCACTTGTTTTATTTGTCAGATATCCAAAAATATCCAGCTTTTGAAGATGTATGTATCAAACACACAGGAAACCAGCAGGATCGCTAGTCAGGCCGCTCGAACATGTCAAACTCAGGAAGCAAAGTGACCTCAAGACCGTTCCTCCATTTTACTTTAATACCTGGAGCTATAGATCACACGTTTCAGGGTATTGTGGGAGCAGTGGGAGTTTATCTGTGGTCCTGAACAACATTGTTCCTCTCTCCTCTGTCTAAGCTGTACCCCCCCCCCCCTCCAGAGGGCTTTGACATTTGCAGCTTCTTCTCACATTTTGCTCACTAGAGCATCTCGATGCTGCAGACGAACCTGTGTGTTTATGGAGAATCCTCCCAACACCCTGAGACTGCAGAGTGACACCGAGTATATTCAAATATTGTGCAGTACCTCACATTCAACACAGCACTCTTTGCACCTTTTAAAATATCAGGATCTGTCACTGGATGTTATTTGAGGCGTTTACTCTGATGTCACTACAGGGTTTTGGTTTATTGATTATATCTGGACAGGCTGCTGAAGAAAATTTATAACCGTCCAAACAAGTGTTTGATTCAGATTTACTGTTTGTCAGCTGCTGTGAACCTGCAATTACCTGGAGTTACTCTTTAATCCAATCAGTCCCGGCATCCTGCACCCAACTGGTCTATCACTCTGTCAGTCCACATATTAACAGCCTTCACAAGCAAGATGAGCCGTCATGCCTCATCTCCTTCTGTGTCGTTTTGGTAATTATCATCGTCATCATTTTTGTTGGTTTACCATTGTCTTCAATGGAGGAGGATGTAAAGAGCTCGCTACATATTAGCATCATAATTAGCATTTTTGATTTTATATATTATTGTGATGCTCCTGTAGCAGTCTCATATTCTAGTGGTCAACTCTTGACTTGAATGTCACCAGCGACTATTATCAACAACCCCCTCACCTCACACGCAGCGCACGGCAACAAGTGGTGCCATTTACGCAGCATCAGAATTATCACACACGTATGAGCGCTGGCAGGTGGAGTCCGTTGTCTGTGTTTGACAGTTAACAGGCTGATAACTGGTGAAATTTTGCACAATCCCAGAGCGGGGCTAACCGTTAGCTTCATTCTGATCATTTGTGACGTAAATCTTAAAACTGTAAAAGCTATGTGAATAGACAGTGAAGTCCAACAACTGTGCAACACAAGCCAGTTCAAATAATAATGCTTGAATGTATATGAGTTGATTGTTGTGTGGATGCATGGAGGGCTCCGCATTTGGTAGATAAAGAGTTTACCTTTCTAAATGTTATTCAAGGAAAGACTATTTCTTTGTTCCAAAAATATCACTACAATCAGTTACCTCCGGCTCTATAGGGAATACAGTTGTGTCAGTATAACCTCAGGAACCCGGCTGCCCGGTTTAACCCTTTCATCCAGATCCGAAATTCACATCCTACTTCACAGAGGAATTTAAATCATTTTTATCTGCTAATTCAACCTCTACTTCCAAAGCCTTTTCCAGAGGTCTTGTTATATCTCATATGTCCAATAAGAGGCAAGCTGAGCTCTGGGTACAATTAGATTCGCCAAACAAAAACTGTACGAACATGAGGACAAAGCAGGGAAATATCTGGCAAAGAAAAACTCCCAAACTGTCTCTTCCATTTCATATGAGTTGATTTAATATTGAACACAAAACATAGACACTACTCTGTTACTGGTGGTCACTAGCTCAGAGAGTAAATGTTTACGGTTGCACTTGATGAATTTTCACCTGTGGTATTTAATGATTATGAGGCGGAGCTGATGCAAGTTTCATCACATCTGTATTTCACACCTTCAGATTTGTAATAAAAATACATTTTGCACCTACGCAGCCGTAGGTTAACCTAAATTATAACTTATCTAAACTTCATCGTAAAATGCAATTATTCATATTTAAAATTTGAAGCTAGATTATTTGAAGCTGCTGAGAGAAGAATATCAGTGGAAGCACTGAAATGGTTTATGGAGTGACAAAAAGATTTGATGATGTTAAACACCGAAAATCATGTTTGTTGTCCTTTTTTACGACTCAGCAGTGACCTTGACCGATAAAACCTGAGCAGGAGAGATGAGCAGGACTGGACTGACATCTCTGTACCAGACTAATTCTAAAGAGGAATGTGTGGAGAATCTTGAAATCTGTGAACAAATACTTCAGTTAACTGAAGCACGATTCTGCAGCTCTATGGCTTTTTTTTTTTTTTTTCCTCCTCAGATTTATTCATAAACCTTTTGTTGTTGTTAGCGGTTGGTGGCGGAAGTTTTTGACATTTCCAGAATAGCTGCCGTGTCTTTCCAGTTTGCAGATCTGAAGCAAACACTAATGACAGCCCAGTGAGATCACGGATCGCGTCCAGTCAGATCATACAAACCTTCACGTTGATGTCCGAGTGAAAATGAGATGTGTCAGTCATCTGTTGTACAGCTCGACTGAAGAGACACAGATCTGTCCTGTGCACGTCTTTATTGAGCTTCAGAGAGACACAGAGAGAAGACACAACTTTGCCCTGACATTAAAAAAGCAAAGCTAAAGTAAAGACAGTGTAATCTGTCTAAATCTAAAACTAATGATTTGTTTATTTGTTTTTGTTTGTTTTAATTTTTGTTTGTGTGAAGGAGGAAAAAAAAAAAGCACAAATGCTGTCTCACTTCAATGCAATGAGTTGCTGATTGGTTACTTTTACATTGTGTGTTTGTGTGCACACATGCATGTATGTGTGTGTGCGTGTGTGTCATGCACAGCAACTTTTAATCTGTTAATAGGATGGGAGACTACGTTTAGTAAATCAGTGTCGGTTGTTGG